ATCAGTAGTTTGAAGATTTTAGTGTAACTGATCATAATAGAACAGCAAATCATCATATTATAATGATTTCTGAAGCATCATGACACTGAAGACTGGAATAATGATGATCCGGAATGAATTACATTTGAAAGTACTGTACATCAATAATTCAATTCATGTTTATATCCAACATATTTATATACAATATAGCGCTTTTACAATGTAGATTGTGTCAAAGCAGCTTATAGAGGAAGTTGAAACTGTGTCAGTCCAGTTTTGAGAGTTGAATAAGAACACGGTGATTGAACATTATTATAATAATTGACAATTGAACAGGTTCTACTGTATTTTTGATCAAGTAAATGCAGCCTTGGTGAGCCGAATTGACTTCTTTTAAAGCATTAACAAATCTTATTGATTCCTGACTGTTGACTGGTAGTGTATAAAACATTTAGGTAACTTTGAGTAGATTTAAAAAGTGGCAACGTATAAGGAATTTGGAGTTAACATTTGGGGTCTCTCCCACCTCCTCCCCCAAAAAACTCAACGTTCCCCTTCACTAGCTCCCTGACATTTCTCTGAACCATGCACTTGAAATGTTGCACTGTAATTGATGTTGATCCTAGCATGTGTGCAGGCTTCACTACAAATTAGGATGGAAAAGGTTATCATAATATTTAGCTAGTCTAATTTGTCAGCTGAACAACTTCCCAATGGAGAAATTCAGAACAGGAGGATGTATTTTAAGTGAAAAGGGAAGTTTTGAAGGGTGCGCTGTGAGGTAATGTGGTTTCAACAAGCAGTCTGGTTCTCTGACAAAACTTTTGTGATGTGTAGTGCTCGGCTTAGTTCTGCTTTGAATATTCAAAATAACCAGTTCACATCTTTCTCGGTTTGATAACCAGATACAAAATGGATTGTGTAATCTGGCCGTACAGTATTAAAAAAAATAATTATTATGTTTAATTGCTACCTACATTTTAAGTAAAATTAAAGTGGTGTCAAAGTGACAGCCTGCAGTGATGAGTTCATTACACTTTTTAAACACTTTGAATTTAATTACTAGGGAAGAAATCATACTAAATCCAGACAGATGAAAATTTAACATGAGTGGCTACAAAAATGTTTGTAGAAACATAAAACTATTGCAAAAATAATTAATGAAAGATTTTTATTATTATTATGATTATATTTTATTATATTATTATTATCATTATTATTACAATATTATTGTTATTGTTGTTAATAATAATAATAATTATTATTATTATTATTATTATTATCATCATTAGTATTATTATATTAATATTGTTATTATTGTTAATAATAATAATGATGATGATAACAATAATAATAATAATAATGTTTTTGTTGTTGATGTTCAGCAGCATAATTTTCTGTCGCTTTTTATTTGTTTAAATGTAAACTGTATGTATAAACACGAATGTAAAGGTTCTTTAGATATTTACTCGTTTGTCAAAAAGCTGGTGTGTATCACTTTCTGTTTTGGCGTCCCCTAGTGCCCTACCTAAACACTGTAATCATTGTTAGAATGAGACAAAAAATGCATCTAAAATGTTTTTAACTATACATTTAACTGGTTATTTTTAATTTTTAAAAATGTTTAATTTTTTTATTACTTGATTAGTAATATTTTTTTTTATTTTAAATTATAATTAAGCGCAAAACAAGCATTAAGTTAATTTCGTTTTCAAATCGCCTCTGCATTTGATTTCAGGTCAGGTGTATTTATTCTTATTTTTGATTATCTAAATTATTTTTTAGTATTTAACTTCTTATTTATTTCGATCCACAACACCTTTGTTTTTATTCTTTTGTTTGTATATTATCAGACAGAAATAGTCTACATCTCAGTGCAGCATCATTATGATTTTTTATGATATCAATTCGAAAATAAAAAGAAAACCCGTTTTATATCATGCCTAATTTTAATGTCCTCTGCGTTCTTGGAGCAGGAGGCTGATGAAACTGTGGCGCGCGCATCACACAACTCTATGCACGTGCACATTTTGCAGACCTGCGGCCACGCGCAACTCTGACCTGTTTCCTCAATTATCTGACAGGTCATTTTTAGTTGAAGGCAGTCAAGTAACGAGACATCTATGATTCAGTGAACATCATGCCAAATACAGTGACTGAAGCAGTGCTGACAAAATAATAAATATAGTATTTTAATCACGGTTTCATCAGTAAGACATTTGCCGATTTTTATATTTAGTCACGAATTAAATTGTGTCGTTCGAAAAGAATATTACAGAAACAGAGGAACCGACCTAAGTGACTCGTGAACTGAAAAGCCATTTATTCGGCATTTTTTTTTTGCACCGTCTGGTTTCATGTTTGCTGCTTAACACGGAATCGGGGAAAATATTTGCGTGTTTTGTCTGACAGAACCAAATAATTCAGACGTGCGAAACTATTATATTTGTTTTCCTTTTGGTGAAATTGTCTGTGCCAACGCAGCCAGGATGAAGAAAAACGGAGTTACTACGGCAACAATCCTTTCAGGATATATCTCTGTCTCTCTCTCTCTCTCTCTCTCCTTCTCTTTTTTATATGCAATTGCAGAACATATGGTTACTCACTGTCAAAGCTGTGATTCTTCATTTGCATACTAACTATTTTCCGAATACACATTCCCTAGAAAACATGTGCAATAGCAGATACATGGTATATGAGGAGAAAAAAAAAAGAAAATGTGTTAATAAGAAATCTACTAGGCATAATTTAATACATTTATTGCTTTTATATTACGCTTGATTATTGCTATGGAAAGGCAGATAGGCTATGTTAGAATATTTTAACGATCTGTTAATGTATTTGTTTCCTAATTGTTTTAATTTAACGCTTCATGCTATGAGCGTGATTAGTTCTTCACTAGTTTGTTTTAAATATGGATAGTGAACACTCTGTTTGCCTATTTTATTTATTGCTTAAATAATAATAATAATAATAATAATAATAATAATAATAATAATAATGAAGTTCGTTTAATATAGCCTAAATCATGGCCTACTTGAGTTAATTTAAGCAAATTAAAATATCCAGGCCTACATTTATTTTCTTTATCTGGAAAATTTGTTTACCTTACAGAATGACAGGCTTGAATAAATTAAAACAATTATTAATTAAAGCAATGTATTAGCCTACCAAGCAAACAAATTTGAGTTTAATAATCTAACAGACATCTAAACGTAGACAACTGTCAGTAAATATCTAATAGACATCTAAGGATAGGCTAAAACTAGACTAGTCGTCAAATAGACAGATTAGATAGACTTTATATGTTTCGTCATTTCTGTTTATTTGACGACTAGTCTAGTTTTAGCCTATTATTAGATGTCTATTAGATATTTACTGACAGCCCAAGATCAGCCTTGTATTAGCTAAGACGACTTTGTTTAGACGTCTTTTAGACATCTATTAGATATCTTTTAAAGACAAAACATACCCTGTCGCGCTAAATTTGTAAAACATTTTACACTGTAGTTTTATTTTAAGATGCAAATGTAACCAATACAAAAGCATTACACATCTTTTGAAGTTCATACATTTTAATCAAACCTCAAACCCCAGCTTTCAATCGAATTTCTTGGTTTTATATATTTATTTATTTGTTTTTAATGCGACATGACTCATATACAGTACATTTTTCCTCCGGTCGTATAACACCTGCACTATTGGCTCTATTCTCCATCTATTGTGGGGAGGAGTTTGGATGAGAGAGAGAAAAAACAGACTCAAATCATGCGTAACTCGATAGACAGCCCATCTGTAAGATTCTTCCCTTTCTTTCAGTAGGAGCTCGTCATCTCATGTCCAGGAATAGACTGATGGCGTTGTGTAAATGATTCATAAAGACCGACTGCTGTTTCAGAATGGGAGATTTTCTAATTAAACTGGCAAAAAATTAGGAAGATTATGGATGAGGTCGGGTTGGGGGAAAAGCGCTTTGCGTTTTTTTTTTTTTTTTGATGAGATGGAAACGTGGAAGAGAAAGAGAAATGACAAATCAGAAATTAGACACCCTTACGAATGCTATGATTGTTTTATAGAAGTGCAGTTGGTTAACTATTATATTTATTTATTTCATAAGGTTTTATTTTTGCATTATATAACCACACATTTACAACAAATGTAATGGTTATTGTAGCAAAACAAGGGTGAATTGTCATGCTTTTAAAAGTTTATTCATAGTAAGCCCATGGTTAATTATGTAAGGGCGCAATAATATCCCACAATATAAGACCAATTGTGGATTATTCATTTTCTTTTCTTTTGGAAAAAAATGTAAATATAAATTAAAATTCGTGCTTGAAAACGAGACGGGTCTAGATAATATTATAGCCTCAAAATAATCTTGAAAAAGTTGTGGTAAATCTCGACATTAACATTTGTGTAATATTATACTAAATATCGTTCACATTCCTCCCAGTCTCGTTTTCAAGCGCGAAAATAGCCTAAATATGGCGTCGTTTATATCGAAAATTGACCTCCTTAGTCAGGTGTCTTTACTAAAATTACAGCTCCCCATATCAATACAATCAATGTTAAAATGTTCAAGCAATTTTATTACTTAATAGTTGCTGTTTTTAATCCTTATTGATACTTACAGTTTTCAAAGTCTGTGTGTATTTCTGTAGCCGTCTGTAAAATGTTGTCTCACAGTCGTTTGCAGTCAAGCCTACTTGTCCCACCGATTCGCCTCACTAATGCTGTATAAGCACACAGCGCCATCTGTCGATAAACCATCATTTTCCAGTAGGGCACAAGCAGAATAACACCTTCCAAAAAAAAAAAAACAGCAGGCCACAGTATATATGACCCTTTCCAAGAAACAAGTCTTTATCACTCACCTTTCAAACTGCCATTCTACGACTTACACCATTTCCAGCCCATAATTAAAGAAGCTAAAGCCATATTTTCTTCACATTTAATCAACCTTTTGGACTGCGTCTGTACTATGCTTCATACACACAAAGAAGCACACTGAAAATCAGTTATGAGCACATAATACTTTATGCGTATACACACTTTATTATTCCAACATCTCTGAAGAAAGCAAAAGAAACACATCTTCAGTCCACAGGCAGTGTTTGTTGTCTTGCACTTGCACAGAGCATTAACTTAACCAACCTCCACCACACATACACATTCTCTCTTTCTCTCTCTCTCTCTCTCTCACACACACACACACACACACATACAGTACACTACATTCATGAGCACACAAACACAAAACCACAAAAGCTATAAATGCTATACATCAGTCACGTTATCATTGATGCAACAGGTCACCACAAAATCTCTGTGGTACTGATTTTCATAGAATAATTTATGTTCATAAAAGTGAATTCCCTAAACTGTTTCTTATATATCACGACTTTTCTTAATGAGTTATACAAACAAATACTGCTGATACAGTGTTTTTTAACTGTGTAGAGCAAGTTGATGGCATACAAATAAAAATAATAATAAGTAACAAATTTTCTCAAGCTCCAAAGTCCTCAAGAACAAAACGACCCATTATTTTTGTTCATAGTATTTCTTATTCCTTAATGTGCTGTATTTATATTTATATTTGGGTGTGATTTTCTTTGTCATATATGGCTAAAGTTGGCTTTTGTGGCGTAGGCACTGTGTGTTTAATGTAATTTGTGCTTGATCTGAAGAGTGTACATTGTTAAACGTTAGGATTGTGCAGGAATTGTCAAGGCATTAGAGTGGACTGAAGTGTTGATTTTGGCAGTGTGCAGTTGGCTTGATTTCCGCTGTTGGCATCACTTTTACAGGACACTGACTCTGTCGCTGAGTCTGCCCATCACCAGCTCGTCGGGCTCCTCCAGCTCACGGACGTCCGCGTGAGGGTTCATTAAGTGGGCTGGGTACTGCAGGCCATTTTGTTCAGCGAAATGCTCCCAGCGTAGATCGTCACTCTCGTGTGTGATATAGCGCTCTAGCATCTTGCACTCCAGAGTTCGCAGGTCCAGCCACATCTGGTAGTCCTGGAATAAAGATATTAGAGTTAAAAAATGTTTGATATCGTTCTAAATGTCAGAATTGATAATTCGGAAGTGATTTTAAAGCTGTTTATAATGGCAAACTATTAAACTATTATTTTAAAATTATACAAAAATACACAAAAACTTTTTTGTATAATTGTAATATAATAGTTAAATAGTTGTAAAGTGTTACCGAAAAAGTATATAAACTATATGACATTGAAGAAAAATAGGTAACACTTTACTACAAGATTCATTAGATAATGCATTTACTAACATGAACTAATCATGAACAACACTTGTACATCATTTATTAATCATAATTGAACATTTACTAATGCATTATTAACATCCAAGTCCATGCTTGTTAACATTAGTAAATGCACCATGAGTTAACATGAACTCATAATGAACTATACTGTATTTTCATTAACTAACGTTAACTAACATGAACAAATACAGTAGTAAATGTATGGTTTATTGTTTGTTCATGTTAGTTAATGCATTAATTAACATTAACTAATGAACCTTATTGTAAAGTGTGACCGAAAAATATTAATGTGACATATGTATAAAAAGAAAACACTGTTATTTTACATTTGATTATTAAATTTCTATATCTCAATACTGCTAGACTTCACCAAAAGCCATGTAGTCTTGTTTATTACATTTTTATTTTTGTTCTATAGTGTTCATCTGTGCTTTAAACGGTACTGTTTTGTGTATAATTTTGTATATTTTATGCAGATTCACAATCAATTTAAAATTGTGAGGTTTTTCAAATTAGTCATCTTTTGAAATTTTAATCATATCGTAATATTTATCGCAGAAAAACTAAATATTGCAATGTCAGTTTTTTCCAGTATCATGCAGCCTTAATTCGTTCATTTATTCACACTTTATTTACAGTGCTCACTGCTCAGCATATATAAGTAGACCCCTCACAAATCTATCTTTTAAATTCATATTTTTAATAGGCAGCTATACAATATTATATTTGTGCATATACATTAGATTAGTCAGTACTGAAGCCAAATCTGGAGCTTATCTAACAAATAACTTACGATAATAGTCCAAAAACAAGTACAACCAATTGTATATGTTATAGAAAAATATTAAATAAAACTTTAAAAAAAAAGAGGAAAATTGAAGAGAAGCGAAAAATGGAAAAGTTTTGTTGAAATTTTGTAGGTTGTAATTTTTTTTTTTTTTTGCAATATTTTGCTTGAATTTAATCGTATTATCTATCAATTTTTTTCATGTGACTAAAATATAATTTTAATAAATATATGAGTTTAATAAATCTGTTTTGTTTAAATGTACCAAAATACACTGCCTATATTCATAAATGGATAAAAATATTCATTTTCAAAATGGGGTGTACTCAGTTTTGCTGAGCACTGGATAAAGCATTTAACAGGCCAATGCAATAAAATGACATCACAAAACAACACTTGACTTATAAAACAAAGAAAACCAAACCACATACATAAACACTATTTAAACAAATATCAACTAAAGTGTCAAAGACCAAATATAATCTTTGTATAATCATTTTTGTATGTGCATATACAGTAGGGCTGCACAATATATGGTTTCAGCATCAACATCGCAATGTGATCATTCGCAGGATATGCAATGTTGATGTTTGTTTTGATGCCTGTGATCGTATAATGATTTTAAAAGCATTCAGGCATAATAAACTGTACCATTTGTAACTGTAACTATGATTAATGTTATTGAATTATTTTTATTTTTGTCATTCAGTTACTGTACTTAAATACTGTTAGACTCGGGGAACGATAAAACACTTCATTTCAATTGCATCTTTTTCTTGATTGTATTTAAAGAGTCTTATGAATGAAAATACTCACAACACATACAGATATATGCACTGCAAATAGCACAGACCACAACGCAAATGTGTCAGGGGACCCCAAAAACTAACAATAGATAGATGATTTGATGGAGATGCACTCCCACTGCAGAATCATCCCAATCCATCTAACATTATAAACTCTTTCTAAACAGAGATTTAAAGTCATCTGGCGAAATTGTCTTCATATCACAATATATATTGCAAAATAAAAAAATATTGCAATGCTAGATTTTTGCAATATCGTGCAGCCCTAATATACAGTATATCTGCCATCATGCACATACAAAATAATCCTGTTATAAGCTATAACAAAGAATAATTTATATAAAACATTATAAACATCGCATATAAAAAGAAATAATGTCATTTTTGTTCAAGTGTGTGCAGCGAGTTTCAGAAATGACTATCTCATCATTTTTAAAGTTCATAATTTACAATAATTTTACTGTAAATGCCTGTCAGTATATTGACAGAACAGTAACTTCATTAATTACTGTTAACAGGCAAATGTGTTAAAATATTCCCTTTGTTATTATTTACTTTTTTTATTTACAGTTGAAGTCAGAATTAATAGCCCCCCTTTGAATTTTATTTGTTTTAAAAAATTTTCCCAAATAATTTTCAACAGAGCAAGGAAATTTTCACAGTATGTCTGATAATATTTTTTCTCCTGGAGAAAGTCTTATTTGTTTTATTTCGGCTAAAATAAAAGCAGTTTTTAATTCATAAAAAAGCATTTTTAAGGTCAAAATTATTAGCACCTTTAAGCTATATTTTATATACAGAACTATATTTTATATTTTGTCTACAGAACAAATCCTCATTATACAATAACTTACCTTATTATCCTAACCTTAACCTAATTAACCTAGTTAAGCCTTTGAATGTCACTTTAAGCTGTATAAAAGTTTCTTGAAAAATATCTAGTCAAATATTATGTACTGTCATCATGACAAAGGCAAAAGAATTCAGTTAATAGATGAGTTATTAAAACTATTATGTAGGGGGGTAAACAGGGGGGCTAATAATTCAAACTTTAACTGCATCTGTTAATGCATTTGTGCATATTCAGGACAGAGCTTAATTAAATACATTAAAACAACAAACAAATCATTTTGAAAAGTTGAAACTCAAAGTAGTTTTAATAGGAATTTTCTTTACACATTAACAAAATAAAATTCTTTGAATTAAATGATTTTGTTTTAATAATTATAAATAGACGTCATAATTTCAACCCTCATTTGCGAGTTTCTTGCTTTCAAATGCTCATTTACGCATGAAAAATGAAATAGTAATCGGCTTTGTATGTGTTAATAAGGCAAGACACTGCAGGTGAATAGGGTAAAAAAAAATGAACTAATAGCTTTAACCACACTTCCCCAGTTGATTTGTTGCATTAAGAATTGCAAATTGTTTTATTACAAGTGTTCTAAACTCGTGTTACGTTTAACACACGCAAATGAAACATTATGTTGTTAAATATTTGCATACATTTACATACACGGACACTGAAAAAAATCACTGAATGAAGTCATGTTCAAAAATTCTCGTTTCCTTCTGACATTTACCAAAACAAGAACTCACATTATTTTATTTTAGAATATTGTGTAATAATAACAATCTATGCAATATATCTCTATTAATAACCTTCAAGATATAGATATGGACAGAACTGTAAAGTTCTGTTGAAGTGGAGATTTATTGAGTTTTAGAAAACAACCTTTAAAATATTTATTGTAATTATTAAATCTGATCAAAGAAACATTTACAAGTGTATTTGTGACGTTTTCTTTACGTTAGACTGAAAACTGACACATTTTGTCTGCAGTGCCTGCCAGACAGACATGGAGGAGTAACTGCGGCCCTGTTTCAGCTACCTAACGCAACTGTGGGAGGAAACAGAAAGTTTTTGTGTGTGTGCATATCATAGCTTTTTTCTTTCACAGGGCATATAAGCATCATTATCTTCTAACCTGTAACCAGGGATGGCTGAGAGACTTGTCCACGCTGTAGCGCTTCCTCATTTTGACTTGCAGCAGGTTATTAATGAGGTCAATTGCTGTAACAACAAAACAGGTTGTCAGTGACCAGGCTGTGGTGGAAAACCTGAAGGATTGTGTGTCCAGAGGGATAATGAGCAAAACCAACATCATGTTAACATTATTTCAGGGGTCACAAATTTCAGAGACACTCCAAAGTTTCTTAACCTTGAGGCCTCGGCGCTTTAGTCTGAGGGATCGTCGGGCATTATTCACATGAATGGCTCGTAACAAAAATTGAGCACGCTCTCACCAATCTCTTTCTTTAACCCTTGCCCTCTCTTTTCTTCATCTTTTCTTTTCCCTTTCCTTCGCTTTCACCCCTCTCTCTCCCACATTTACATTTCTTGGTAGCAGGATAGCCATGCAAACTTGGTATACTTTAACAGCTAATACAGTTAAAAATAAATGAATAATTTGAAAAAAAAATATTTATCAAATTTTATTAAGGATTTATTGCTACTGAATAATTATATTTGTTTTATTCTTTTGTTTTATGAGATTTTTTAAAAGTGAAATATAGTCATTTAAAGCTTTTAATGAATGACTATCATTCATAAAAGTCAGTGATATTCCAATAAATATTGATTTCTCTCTATTTTTTGGTTATTTTATTCCAGAAAATAAAGATTTTTACATTAAATTAGGAAGAAATGCCATCACAATAGTCCTCCAAATATTGACTTATCTCTCTCTTTTTGTTATTTTATGTCAAAAACAAGAATTTGTTTGTTATAATTATAGGAAATGCCATCAAAATATTCCACCAAATAATGATTTATCTTTTTTTTTTGTTGTTCTTATTTTATGCCAAAAGATAAGGATATTTATGTGAAATTTGGATAGAATACCATCACAATAGTCCACCAAATATTGATTTATCCATATTTTTTTATATTTTATGCCAAAAAATAAGGATGTTTATGTTAAATTTGAAACAAATACCATCACAATAGTCCACTAAATATTGATTTACCTTTTTTTTTAATGCCAAAAAATAAGGATGTTTATGTTAAATTTGAAAGAAATACCATCACAATAGTCCACCAAATATTGATTTACCTTTTTTTTTTTAATGCCAAAAAATAAGGATGTTTATGTTACGTTTGGAAGATGTGAAAGGCCATCACAACAGTCCACCAACTTTTGTTTAATCTTTTTCTTAGTTATTTTATACCAAACAATAAGGATTTTTATGTTAAATTTGGAAGTAAGGCCATCAGTTTTACAGATAACTGGATCATTAATCCTAAAAAAAAAATTTTATAAAAAAAAGTATTTCCATGGCTATACAAATAAATTATATTAAATGCAATTATAGTGCAATTATTATAATTTTGTTAAAATAAAATGTCACAATATGGGTTAAATACTGCTCCATAATAATTTGGCAAAACAGAGAGTAAACATAACAGAGCATTAACCAATTTTAATGATTTTTTAAAAATATCCAGTAAACATATTTTACAATTTGATGATGTATCGTTTATAATAACAAGTTTTGTTTTTATTAATTATATTTTCAATTCTATACCATAATAATGCAAAAGATTTTGCAGAATAAATTATACATGCATATGAATTCACTTTGATTAACGAGAGTCAAACCTGATTTGTTCTGTAATTCCTTCTTATGTTTTGCAACTTCTTTCACAAAGCACTTTCGAGATACTCTTTGTTATGCCACTTAATTATTTTCACTTCGCAGTAAACAGGAACAAATTCAATTAAAACAGTTTTCTAAAACAGAAAGTAATTGTTAAAATTGCCATACTTGATACCACCCAAACTATATAAATAAATAAAAGTGAATCATTTGTTCCAATTGCCTGTGTTCTTAAGCAAGTGCAGTCTCTGGTTCTCCTGCTATTATAATGAGGAAGAAAGAAGGAATTAGTAAATAATCAGGGTCAAAGGTCATCCAAATCTAGTTAAGGTAATAAGAAAAAGGTCAATTCTATATGCATACAGATTGCATATGACGTAAATGTAAATATTTCCTATCTAAGACCTTTATTCAAGCCTTTACTTTGAATTAACGCCAACCATATGCTTCTGGATCATGAACCAGGAGCTAAAGAGAGATGATTTGGGTGAATCAGGGTCATCTAAGCATACAGTAGTTAAAACAAATAGAGCTTTAATCTGAAATATGACTTCAGGTCTCATAACTAGTTAGACATCAGAATCAGGTTGGCTGGAAATAGCATTCAGTGTGCAGTGAGGTCATGTTGGTACATTAGCTAATGGAAGTTAATTCAAAATAGGCAGTCTAATTAGGTGACTTGCATACAGTCAGCCATGTGAGGTGGGATTCGCAAAGTAGCTCTGGATTAACGCTTACATTTTTGAGGATTAACACACGCATATTGGACTCTAAATCGTTTGCAGCTTAGAGAGGTTAATACAGCTAGCTTCTGACTTGGGTTTAAACGGTTATCTCAGTGTTTCACAACCTTTTTAAATGTATTTACTGCAAAATCTGATTTGGAGACACAGTGTTTTCTTGTTAAAGTGCGAAACCTGTAAGACTTTCTTTCCTCTACGAAACACAAACGATTACTGGATTTTTTATTTTTTTTTTTCATAAAATGAAAGTCAGTGAGGTTTAAAACAACATTAGATGCAGAGGACATGTTGTTTCGACAAAAAAAAAAAAAAAAAAAAAAAACCTGAAAGTGGTACTAAAAATAGTAAATTTTCATCAACAACTAGTTTTTTAATGCTAAATGTTTTTGAATTTACAGTGAAGCCCTCACAAATCTATCTTTTAAATTAATATTTTTAATGGGAAGCTGTACAATATCATATTTGTACATATACATTAGATTAGTCAGTACTGAAGCCAATTCTGGAGCTAACAAAATAACTTAAGATAATGGTAATAAAACTAGTAAACCCAAATGTATATGTTATAGAAAAATATTAAATAAAATTTTTAAAAAGAGAAAAAATCAAGAGAAGCAATTTTTTTTTTTAAAAATGTGTTGAAATTTTGTAGGTTGTAATTTTGTTTTGCAATATTCATTTTAAATTTAATTGTATTATCTTTCAATTTCTAAATATGTTTGGTGACTAAAATATTATTTAAATACATATATCTGTTTAATAAATATTTTTTGTTTAAATGTACCAAAATACATTGCCTATATTCACTGAGAAATGGATACAAATATTCATTTTCAAAATGGGCTGTGCTCAATTATGCTGAGCACTGTATGCATATCTTGGCATTTGCGTCAATATCCTAAAATGTGCCTAAAATCAATATATATTACTTCAAAATAATTTTCAATGTCTTTTTTTCTTAATCAAAGGCTTTTAATAAGAAATAACTGTTTTTTTATATTACAATATTTGCTGTGCATAAGCTGCTGAAGTTCACTTAACAACCACTAGTGTCACTAATACCAAGACTTTACAAATTCTTCATTTAGCCCTCTTAAACTAGGGCTGGGCAATAGGGTATTTGCACACAGGCTTTTAATTTCAGTCAGTCAGCCACAGGGCGTCCAGTGAATTGTCATCCGATACAAAATTGCCACGCTTAAGATCTGATTTCTTTAAAACACCGCGTGATTACCTGGCTGAGACACAATGTAAAGTGTGCATCAGACCAAACAAGAAGCACTGCATTCAATTCTACTTGTCCGGGGCATGTCTTTAAAATAAGGAAATTAATTGTACCCCAGTATTTTCAACTGAGTTTTTGCGCTCACTTAGTACACTGACAAGCCAAGTGCTTAAAATTAAAATTGAATGAATTGGGCAATAACACAATCGAGATAATCATTCTGTGATAATAACAGCTGTTTGTGCACTTCTTGGTGAACTACCGTTGTGTGTAGTAAATGCTGCATGTGAGAATACCATATTTTAAAACATCTTTTACTCCCAACTTACTTCACTCTAAAACATGCTGGGTTCCACACAGTTAGTGTTCCGACAACATAAAGGAATTAAGTTAACATATCACTTTTTTACAAATTCACGTGGATTGAACATAAAACAATTAAGTTGTCACAAAAAATTGTAAATACGTTGTTTGAACAAACAGCAAATGTAATTATTTCGAGTGTTCAGTGATTTCACTAAATTCAGTAGATTGTTTGAAATAAATCCTTCTGTGAGACGAGTTCATTCATGTGATTATTAGTCACTGAATTAATGAAAGCAGCTAAAACTTCTTTTAATTATGCAAAGCTATGGGGATTGCCTGGGTTTCTTCATGTCTGGAGTTTCTGCACAAAAGCGCCCTCTGGCCTTTGGAGGAAATTTACTACTAAACACAATCATGCTTTTCTGACAAGGTGTGCATGAGAATCACATTTATGATTAACTGCATTTTCAATTAATCATACCTTTAACACTGCAAGAGTGTTGCTAAAGAGGGTTGCACACTGGATGCGCTGCTCAGCGCTGCAACACGGCATGCACATGACTGTTAGAAGCATCGCACACCAGACGTGCACATTGGCATGTTATTAAAATGAACGTTACAGAAATATGAACAGTGTCCTGAGTCATCATAGCTGGGCACCATGGACAGCCATTGACTTGCGACTTTGTTTAGAATTCTAAAATGCATGGCGCTGTGTGGTGCGTTGCGTCATCGATTGGCACATCCAGTGTGTTTTATAACCCTAGCTAAACACAGTGCTAATTTTACCTTTAAAATACTTAGCCGAGATTAAAGGCAGTGTTTAAAATGACAATGATTTGTGACTAAGAACAGTTTGAGATGTTTTTTCAGAATATTTTCTTGAGGTCTGGATTGACACAAGGGTGAATACATAATGAAAAAGCTAATCTCCAAATTTATTGGTGCTTGTGCAACATAGAAGATCTCATTCTCCCCAAAACTCACCCTCTGGGGTCACTGTTTTCCACGGGTTGGGTGGGTACATGAAGGCAGCATTCTGGATCTGGTCGTGAATGTCTTCATCCTCATTGAAGGGGAAGGTTCCACTGAGACTGACATAGATGATGACACCCACCGACCACATGTCCAGCGAGCGGTTGTAACCCTTGTTCCTCAGCACCTCAGGGGCGAGATACGCCGGAGTGCCAACCACCGAACGCCTAAAAGACTTCTCTCCGATAATACGTGCAAAGCCGAAATCGCAGAGCTTAACCTGCAAGACAAATCAGCGAATAATGAGCTTTCCAATAAGCAGACGACAAGAAGAACTGGCTATTTCACTCGACTAGGACCGAGATGCACAAAAGAGCCCCCCCCCCCAAAATAACATCCCTTTGTTCTCGCGCTAGCTTTTTAACACCACAGACGCCGTAATGATCAGTTGTCACGGACTGAAGGAAAGTCAAGTGAAATTATCACCCAGTTGGATGTGGTTACAATGTATCTCCTGCTGATCTCCACTTTCCACCTTTAAAAGATTGCACAGCAACAAGCACCTGAGGACCGAGCTCAGACGCTGACAGCTCGGGTTCTGCAAAATATTTGTAAATGACACGCGGTGATTTGTTTAGTATTCTTCCGAAATGTTTGCCCGCGCTCAAACAGTGAGTCATCCTTCTGCTTGAGAGCTTCCAGAGACGAGCTCGTGCGGCAGACAGAAGAAACAATGGGAGGATAATTTAGAAATCTTTCATTAGAATGTAGAGACACACACAACCCTGTGCCTCGAACACACCATGAGAACGCTATAATTACCATCTTTTATTCGCACGCATTTACAAAAACAGATCCATTTATGTTAATTTCGGTGTGGCCTCACTTCATTCAGATATTTCCTTTCTTTTGTTGTCGCTTCTATCTCTGCTCGGGTTTTACTCACTTGTGGAAAGGAGTCAGCGGAGGCTAACAAAACATTCTCGGGTTTGAGGTCACAGTGAACAATGTTTTTGAAGTGAAGGTGCCGGAGAGCGACCAGAATCTGGGAGAGGAGCAGAACAATGTTGTTATTACAATGCGGAATAAAACATAGGAGATGGTAAATAAAAGAATGCAAAAGCAAAAGGTCCAGCTTTACGCTTGATTCTGGCTTTAAATGTTTATATGAGTGATTCCTGCGCAGATATGTACCTGCGATACAAGGAACTTGGTGATGCGCTCTGGAAGCCTCCCCTTCTCACTTGACAGGATCATCTCCAGCATGTCGCCATGGAGCTTTTCCATGACAACAAAGACACGCTCGGGTGTCTCAAACATGCACTCCAGGTTCACAATGCCAGGATGATGGAGGTTCTGCACAAAACAGATGTAGTATACGTCACATATATACAGTACATTTCATTAAACTGTATAGTAATATTGCCATTTAATCTGATGCCATTTTTAATCTGTGGCTAATTATTATAAATAGACGAATTGATACATCAGTCAAATTAATAATATAAATGATCTGATATATCAACATCAACTTTCTGAAATAGCAACATCGACCTTTTTTCCACATTAATCATTTTTATTATTATATAAAATAAGTATATGTTTTGTTGTTGCAAGATACCCAATTGAATGAGTTCAATTACATGCTCACATTATATTTTAGATTGCATTTATTAGTAAAATAAAAATGTAACTGGTTGTGTGAATGTTCATTCATATTAAAATAGGCATATAATATTATATTGTCAGTCTATTAATTGAAAGAGCCTGAATCTAATTTATCTTCAATGCAAATATTTAATTACTGGTTAAGAGAATCACTATCAATGTGTCTGATTTACACTTCTGGGATTTAATATGAAAAAAAAAAAAAAAATATATATATATATATATATATATATATATATATATATATATATATATATATATATATATATATATATGCGTGTCAAAAAGTGAATATGTTTCATTGGTATTTAGTGTAACATTTATATTAAAATATAAAAAAAAAAAATCAAACAACATACTTATTCTGACCTGTATTTATAATATTATAAGTACAGTTGAAGTCAGAATTATTAGCCCCATTTGTTCCCCCAATTTCTGAAGGTTTATTTGACCGTTTAATTTGAGAAGATTTTTTCAACACATTTTTAAACATAATATTTTTAGTAACTCATTTTTAATAACTAATTTATTTTATCTTTGCTATGATGACAGTAAATAATATTTGACTAGATATTTTTCAAGACACTTCTATACAGCTTAATGTGACGTTTAAAGGCTTAACTAGGTTAATTAGGTTGACTAGGCAGGTTAGGGTAATTAGGCAAGTTATTGTATAATGATGGTTTGTTCTGTAGACTATCAAAAAAATATATAGCTTAACGTTGCTAAATATATTGTCCTTCAAATGGTTTTTAAAAAATGTATATCTGCTTTTTTTCTAGCCAAAATATAAAAAAAGACTTTCTCCAGAAGAAAAGAAAAAAAATTAGACATACTCTGAAAATTTTCTTGCTCTGTTAAACATAATTTGGGAAATATCTAAAATAGAAAAAGAAATTTGAAGGGGGGCTAATAATTCTAACTTTAACAGTAAATGATATTCCAAATACAGAGTTGAAGGCATTCATTACCAGCCTGTGAAAGTTTAATTCTTTTTCAAATAATTGATGTTTAACAGAGCAAAGGAATTTTCAGTTTCCTTTTAAATATTTTATTTGGAGAATTAATTAATTTAGTTTGGCTGCAACAAAAGTAGTTTTTAATTTTTATTTTAATAAGTTGTAAGGTCAACATGATTAGCCCCTTTTAGAAATAACTTTTTTAATAGGCTACAGAACAAACCACTGTTGTCCAATGACTTGTGCAATTAACCTAACTTGCCTATTTAACCAAATTAACCTAGTTAAGCTTTTAACAGCACTTTTGACTGAATGCTATATCTTTGCAAAATGGAAAATATTATGTAGTGTCATAATGGCAAAGACAAAAGAAATTCATGATTACAAATTGGTTATTAAAACTATTATACTTTTAAAATATGTTGGAATAATATCTCCATTAAACAGCAATTGGAAAATATTTTTAAAAGGACCTCTTTTTAAATTTACCTGGAGAATGGCAACTTCATTGCGCAGTTGACTTTCCTGCTTAGTGGGAAATCGCAGTTTATCGATGATCTTGATGGCAACATCTCTGCCTGTTTTCCTGTGTTTCCCTGCATTATATCAGAAGGCATGACCGACATTGTGTTTTTTTTTTTTCCTTTTTCGTTCATTTACAAAATATGTGACAATATATATATGAATATATATACTCTGCATATATGAAAATACACAAATTTTTAATAGGCATCTTTGCAATATTATATTTGTGCATATACATTAGATTAGTCAGTACTAAAGCTAAATCTGGAACTTATCTAAAAAAAAAAAAAAAAAAAAAAAAAAAAGACTTAAGATCACAGTCAAAAAATTTGTAATTTAAAAAAAATAAGTAACCAAACTTATTTGTTAGTGAAAGATATTAAATTAAAGGGGAGGAAAAATCAACATAAATAAAACATATTCATAATTTAGTTAAAATTTTCCTATTTTCTGCTTGAATTTAAATGTATTATCTTACTATTTCTGAAAATGTCTGGTGAGTAAAATATTATTTTAATAAATATATCTGATTAATAAATCTGTTTTGTTTAAATGCACCAACTGATTTATATTAACAATTAAACTAACAATTGATTTATTTTTATCATAAATAAATACAATTATTATAAATATGATTACACAATTAATATTCGAAATAAATAACGATCATTTAAGAAATATGTTGCATGAATATTAATTATTACAATTCTATAGAATATATATATATATATATATATATATATATATATATATATATATATATATATATATATATATATATATATATATATATATATATATATATATCACAGAATTATCTGTTGTCTTAGACCTGACTCATGGCCGAGAATTAATGCTATGAAGTTTTTCCTCCCTGACTCTTTATCCCTACTTTCTGCTTTATAGTCATGCTTAGTGAAAGTAACATCATCATCATATTACATACAACTTTAGTTTTGTCGACTTGCAAATTTCACTGCATGCTGACACCTCTGCACAAAAGGCTGCGTATTTTATCGACGTGCATGCAAACAACCAGGATTCACACAGGAGTGTGGAAAAGGTTTTCAGCATGCATGCGTCAGTTTGCTTTCACCAGTCTGTAGACGTTTTTTGCTATTTCTGCTGAGAATTTTGGTAAAAATCTGCGGATTGCTGCGGAATTATTTTGGGAGTATCATAACTAAAACCTTAATATGTGAAATAAAAAATAATATCTTTTAAACTTTAATTTAATATCTCTACTAAAAGACAGAAAATATTACTCTACAAATTGAATTATACATAAATCAGATGAACATTTTCATATTAGTCAATAATATTACTGTACTTAATTTAAAAACCGAATAAATATAGATTTACACACATTTACTCAAGTAAATAAACAGAATTAATGATGGGCTAAAAATCTGCAGTAATTCTGTGGGCGCAGATTTCGTGTGGGCCTAGCGATCACCCATATTGCCCATGCCTAAATCCCCCACTGCTTATATTCAGTGAAAAATGGCTAAAATATTCATTTTCTTAATGGGTTGTACTCATTTATGCTGAGCACTGTATGGATATTTACTGTAAATAGGGAAATAAGTATAACCTCATTACCCATTCATTGACCATTATACCACACTCTAAAATAAATGCTGGGGTGTTTAAACTCAAATGTAAGTAAAAGATGAACAAGACCACCAGGTGGGTTTAACATTTCAGAAACTATTATTTCAGTTCTACTAAAATTGGGTTAAAAAAACGTGCTGAATTTTTTCAGCATTTATGTACTGTAGATAAAAATATCATTTTATTTGTATCATATATGCAAACACATCATCCTTAAAAATATTAAAATGTGCATCAAATGTAGCATATCCAGATTCCAAAGCATTTCCTCAGCGTCGGCTCTTATTTTCTCAACTCTCTGCAAATAGACTGGTACATTACCTCCATAGACAATGCCAAATTGCCCAGAGCCAAGTACTTCATCAGGGAAAATCTGATACACTGTGCTAATATCCTGTAACAAGCACAGAAACAAAATGTAAGCATATGTGCCAAAAATGGGCTGTTCTCCACCACTCAGAAGCAATGCTTGATGCATCAGATGTCTGCAGATCTCATCTTTTTTTTTTTTTCATCTTGTACAGTAACAATGGCTGAATTCAGACCAGTAGCCTAAAGAGCTATTTCCACATCTCACTAGGACTGTGTCAGAAAGACTCGAGTAACCATGGCAACCCCATGGCCGAGCAGGTAATCAAAATAATCTCCAATAGAGGCATTGTGTGTTTATATCACACTGCAGCTCAAGGTTGCAGGTATAGGCAAGCTGACGGGAACACTGAGCTCTGGCACACAGAAACAAAGCTCGATACTGAAAATAGGACATTTATGTACGTCTCCAGATATGAAAAAAGCATAAATGTTTACCACATTCTCCTGGATCTGGCAGTTGGATACAGAGATGCTGATGGAGACCTCTTCTGTTTAAAAAAAAAAGAGAAACATATATGGCTCAGTGTGTCGGCTCTTGTATTGGATGCCATATATTCAGATTTACGACATTACTAATTAAATCTCACTGAAGAGGAAATGTAAATACATGTCAAGAGTTTAAGGCTAAATTTATTACTAATAATGTTCATTCATTGAAATAAAGCTGAAATAACATACTGTAAATACTACATTTAAAAGGGGAATATTAGAAATACTGCATTACAAAAACAACTAAAACTCATTCGGCCCCTGTGCCGGCCCGTAGGGTTGAGGGGCCCTAGGCCAGATAAAAAAGCGCCCACTGGTGTAAAAACAGAGAGAAGATAGCACAACAAAAATACAGTATTAATATTTCAGTGTATACATTTTTTAACTGAAACATATTTACCTATAATTCATATGAAAAAATATTTATTCAGATTTAAGCAAATACATTTGCAAATATTGCAAATTAAAATGCAAGTGTGATGTAAAAACAAATTAACAAGGGCACAGATATTTACTATAGGGCACAGATACTTAATAAGGGCACAGATATTTACTATTTAATTTTGCCGTTATTTGCTTGTGGCGTTATATTACTTAAGACTTTAAGACACTTTTCCGAGTTTATATAGATCGTGAGCAATTTGGAGAGATATGTGGAATCCATTACATCATTCTAGAAATAGAGTGTGGTGCTGCTGGATATATTACTAATATTCTCTGCTGTTATTCATACTATTGTTGTGTATGTATTGTCGTTTTCAGCTATTTGTCATGTACAAATTATACAGAGCTATTCTTTTCATGAAATGTGGAGGTTATTTATTTTTTCTAACCATCCTTGTGAATTTTATCACATTTAATGGGGTTTGTGCAATGTGTTTTGGTCATGATTTATACTTACACACTTGTCTTCGCTGTTACATTCACAATAAATAAACAATTGCAGCGTTCATGGGGCCCTCCAAGAAACGTGGGGGCCCGTTGGACGGGCCGGCACTGATGGGTCCTATCATACAACCGCCCCAATAAGGCGCGAGACGAGTTTGGTGTGATTTGTTGCTATTTTATGACCAGCGCAACCCTAATTTTCACATTTTACACCACATTGTTAAAAGAGTAAATCCATTTGCACTACTTTGTGGACTCATGGGTGTTTCGTTCTAATCTAGTTTTTATTAAATCAAATATAAATATACATATAAATAATGCTACTAATAATAACAACACTATACAAAAGCAAATTGTCATGAATAAACTGAAAAAAGCTCCCTGACTTGAAAAAGATATAGAGCCAGTGGTTTTTATATTTATATTTATTTTATTTATTTTTATATTTACTGTATGTAGAAAATGTAACATGTAAAGATATTTGCGTATTGCTGTACATCTTGTGTGTTTTAAGCAATGTGTAAGCGTTTAAGGCACACAACTAACGCACTCTGCGCTGGACTTTAGACCTGCTTTCAGCTGGTCTATTGCACAGTCTATTTTAGTTCCTTAAAATAGCGACGCGCCAACAATGCGCCTTAACACATTGTTGGTTGTAGGGTTGCGTTGGTCAGAAAATAGCAACAAATCGTGCCAAACACATCTTGCGCCTTATTGTGCTGGGTGTATGATAAATTGTGTTTAAAGTGAGCAACTAAAATAATTAAAATGAAAAAAAATAATAAAGTAGAAATCCATATAAAAATTTAAGTGCAAAACTATAAATAAAAATAATAAATGTTAATAAATATTTTTATATAATCAACAATATTACAGTGGCATGTGAGGTAGCAAGTACTCATTAACATCATTGTAAGTACCAATTATATTGATTTTTTGTCCATTTGATATTCAGAAACCTGTTCAATTATTTTTAGGGTAAAATAAACAACCAAAGAGTTTTTATTTATGAGTTCTAGATAGGAGGACAAAGGTCAAATAAATAAGCAAAGAGTTTTTGTTTACAAGTTCTAAATAGAAGACAAGAACTTTCTATATAACTGTATGCCAAAAGCTTTATCCAGTATGCATAAAAGAGCATGTGAAAAATGATTAAATGCATGTGTACATTTTGCTAAAACTGTGGCGCCTATTGCCTGTAAACACGCATAATATGTAGTTTGTAAGGATTGCATTTATACTACACACCTGCATACTTAGAATGTAGAATGTACACTATCGGTCAAAAGTTTTTTTTTTTACTTCTGTTAAGAATAATTAACAGAAAATTATTATGTTAATTAAGGTGGCATTCATTAAATATATTCATAAAATTGTATTACAATTTTAAATAACTGTTTTCTTATTGTATGTAGTTTTAAATGAAATGATTACTCCAGTCAATATTGCTTTTATTTCTATTACATTAATAATAATAATCATAATAATTACTAGAGTTATTTCTAAAGGATCATGTGACTGAAGACTGGAGTAATGAAGCTGTAGGTTCATTATTAAAATCACTGGAATAAATGATTAAATATTAAAGTACTTTTGAGCAGTTATTTTATAGTACAATAGCATTTCATATTTAAAAAAATTTTATTGTATTTTTGATCAAATAATTGCAGCTTTGGTGAGCAGGAGAAGCTTATTTTAAAACATTTACAAAACCTACTGACCCCAATCTTTTGAACGGTAGTGTATTTATCATATGCAATAAATAGGAGGCTCAGATTATAGCACACATTCAAATTGTGTTTTGGGAATAAGCAGATTATAACATGCCCATGCTGTATTGTAATTAAAATCCAAATTATAAAAGCAGTTTATGTCCTTGTAGAACTTTTAATTTTAACATGTAAATGTACATTTCTGAGAGCCAAGACTTTTACCATGAGTCTGCCATACCACCTGACTGCTGCAGATTTCATTTTGAAATTACCATAATTACACCATGGAGTGATTCCAGCAATATTCTGGCAACTCAGACAAAACACGTCTTTATTCTAGCATGACTTATGCACTAAAACAAAAGCTCCTGTTATAATCACTGAAGATGTTAAATTAATCTCTTATGTCACATCTGCTCTTTGTTTATTATGATGATAGGATCACCCAAAAATGAAAACCTCCTCACCATTTCCTCACACTTAAGTGGTTCTAAATGAATACAAATGAATTCAAAACAAGATATTCTGAAGAATGTTGTAAAACAGACGTCATTGACATCTATAGAAGGAACAGTAGTTGGTGATACCACTTTGTACAAAAACACTACGCAGTTCTGTAGTCTGCAGTGTTATTCTATACTTTGACAGTATATACTAATTTAGTGGTGTAAAGTAACAAATTACAAATACTTAAACTACTGTAATTGAGTAGTTATTTTTTCAGAAATTTTTATTTACTAAGTAGTTTTAAAAATGTGTACTTTTACTTTTCCTTGAGTACATTTTTAGTGCTGTATCAGTACTTTTACTCCACTACTTTTCTTCAAACTGTAGTCACTACTTTTATTTTTTCTTGTATATGGGGAATGGCTGAGTAGTCTTGTGATTCCTGTCCAATCAAATTGCAGAAGGTAAATCGCATCATGTTAAACTACCTCCAAACATGGGCGCTTTAAAATTGTGGCAAACTGTTTTTTCCCCAAATACTGTTTAACGCAGAAAATATTTTTTCAACACATTTCTAAACAATAGTTTTAATAACTCATCTCTCATAACTGATTTATTTGATCTTTGCCATGATGACAGTAAATAAATAATATTTTACATATTTTTCACGACTCTTCCAATTAGCTTAAAGTTACATTTACAGGCTTAACTAAGTTGATTAGGTTAACTAGACAGGTTACTGTAATTAGGCAAGTTATTGTATAATGATGGTTTGTTCTGTAGACTATCAAAAAAAAATAACTTAAAGGGGCTAATAATTTTGTCTGTAAATTGATGTTTAAAAAAATTAAAAGCTGCTTTTATTCTAGCCGAAATAAAACAAATAAGACTCTCTCCAGAAGAAAAAATATTATCAGACATACTGTAAAAATTTCCTTGCTCTGTTAAACATCAATTGGGAAATATTTAAAAATGAAAAAAAATTCAAAGGGGGGCTAATCAACTGTACATATATAAATGTAAATATATAAATGTACATATGTATAATATATATTAATTATCTATATTTAGATTTTTTTTTAGTAAAAAAGTAAACTCGTCTTTGTGTAGAGACATTTTTGGCTCTCTTACCATGAATTTGTAGGCCTTTTTTGATGTTGATTTTACGAGAATTGCCCATTAATTTTAAAGGGATAGTTCACCCAAAAATAAAAAAGTACTCACTTTTTACTCTCCCTCAAGTGGTTATAAACCTTTATGCGTTTCTTTCTTCTGTTGAACACTAAAGAAGCTATGTTGGAGAAAGCTGAAAACCTTAAACCACTGATTTCCGCAGTAGTAAATGCTACATAGCTTTCTTCAAAATATCTTAATTTGTGTTTAACAGAAGAAAGAGACTCAAAGAGGTTGGAAGCAAGTGAAAGGTGAGTAAATGATTACAGAATTAAATTTTTTGGGTGAACAATCCCTTTAAGTGATGCACAGCTATATTCCCTCTGCAATTTTCAAGCAAAGTGAACCATTTAAAAATATATTTTAAAATAACTAATTTTTTTTGTATCTTTTTTCCCCCAGAATCATCCCATAAATGTTTCACCATGAGGTTCATACTGTGGTAGTTATGATGGCCGCCCTGTGATATGCCCTTGGCGATGACAGGCATCAGAGCATGCTGGATGACCATCTCCCACATGTGGGCCACATCCTGCCCCACACCGCTAACAAGCATGCTGCTTCCATAGCCTGAGGATCCCCCGTCGGCTCGGCTCAGGTTCTCCCCCACATAGTACACCAGAGATGTGGTGGCGATCTCAAAGCAATGTGGGTTTGCACCCTCAGGCAGAAGGTTGAATGTTTTCGCTGGCTCCAGAGACAACACCTCAGATAGAGGAATTTCCTGTTGGAGAGGGTTAAGAGGTCTTGTCTGAAAGCTGAAACCTCAGTGATGCTGCTGAGACATGCATGTGGATCTGACATTATTGAAAAAAGTGTAAAAGTAAGATATTTCTTTGTGTTTTACCTTATAGTATTTGCTGCCGGTGTCGTTCTGGAACAGGGTTATACACTTGCTGTCAAGTCGCCAGTAATGTCTCTTGCGCTTTTGTGAAAAAAGGAAAAAATAACAATGATTTGGTAGCTTTCATAAGGTTTTCATAATTCAAGTTTCCTTTTTTTAATTACATTTTCAATAACCGTGGTACTAGTAGCCCTTAACAACGTGAACTGCAGTACGTTCAAATACATAAAAATCCTTTAAAAATAGATATTTTTAAATAAAAAATATTCTGAACCAAAATTAGAAAGACAAAGGCTCAAAAAAATCAAAACTAACATATTGATTTTTTGAGCTCACATTGCTAGTTTTGTTGTGAATAATTCATTAGAAAAATAAATAGTTTTGCCCTGTTTCTTGCTTGTTTTTAGTTCAATTCTCAGATTACGTCTGTCTGAGAGATTGGGCGTGGTTAACATACTTAACCACGCCCCTCCAACTGTCAGTTTTGAAAGTGTTATGACAAAAAATAGAAATGGTGAAAAGGAGGCGAAACACTTATCTTGATCTTTATGAATGAAATGCCTACTTTACTACATCCAATCAGCTTGCAGTAGAAAAAAAACAAGCCATGGCCACTGTTTTGTCATTCAATCAACCCAGGCTCATTCAGAAAATAAACCGCTATATACATTTCTGGAGAGCGACAAATAAGTCCCAGGAGGTGTTTTTTTTTTTGTTTTTTTTGCAGTTTTTGTTTTCGCGAATCCACCAGAGGCCGCTCTATACATTTTATCAGATCTCAAATTTGTGCCACTGCTCTTCTTTCGTAAATCTACCAAAGGCTGCTGTCAACTGACTGACTGATCAACTTGACCCACCCTCCACCATCCCTAAACCCAACCAATAATGTTTTCAAAAGCACAAATTGACCCACCCACCCACTTCCCTAAACCAACTGACAGCTTTAAAAAGCAATCCAAAAAAAAAGAAAAGCCCTCGTCTGATTTTTACCACGCTTTCAGATTTTACAAAATTCTCACTCTGTTGTTTACTTGTTTATTTTATTTTTTGACTTTTGTTTTTGTCTTGCCTGGTTTTTTGGAACCGTTCTTTGCCGGACTCGAACCCCGTCGTCGTGGTCTACTCCTCTCTGAGTCTCAAGTTTGCCGACGTATATGGCGAGCTACCGGACATATAATCCCAAAACTGATCACTGATAACTGCTGGAAAGCCATTCACATGGAGGCAAGCAATCAGCTGGTAAGCGTGAAAATTGCCCCGTAGCATTCATTTTAAATTCATTTTACTGGCTACATAATTCACAATCTCCAGAAATATATAAACATTTTCTGAAATAGCCTGTGTTGCATTTAATATTCCCTTTCTCTAGGAACTGTGTGACTTCTAGTTCATACGGACTTTAAGAAAGTTCCGGAAAGTGGACCAAATGTGCCAAAATAACTCAAACTATCTCAAGTATTTTTTTTTTTCAATGGAAAAAGTGTTGTCGTCTGGCTCAACCACATATTGACGGAAGTTACCTGAGTAACTAAATAATTGGATACATTTTTGGCCAAGTAATATAAACACAACTCCAACACACATTCTTTATCAAGACAACAATCCCCTGAAAAATTGGAGACATTCATAAGGTTTCTATGGGAAACACAGAGCACTTACCAGTGTGTCTTTGCTGGTGAAATGCACAAGCCAGCCTTCTTTCATAACATTGCTGCTTTTCCTCTTGGTGTGTTTGACAGACTGAACCACTCGCATAAGTGGGATGTTGTTGCTGGTGGAAGGGCTTACAAACATGGTGACATGTCAGAACCTTCTAGCAAATGTCAGTTTGACTGTTTCATAAACATTCCTTTGTTTAGTTGCTATTTATATTCAGCTTTAACTTAAAAAGACAAACAACAGCAAACAATAAACAACTCAATTGTGGCCCAAAAGAACAAACTAAAGCAACATTTTAATGTTTGTTGTTATATTTTGTTGCTGTTTAGGAATATGTTATGATACCATAAATACCATATATCATAATGCTTTAATTATACTTTAAGTCAGTGACAGTTTTAAAAGAAACAAATACTTTTAATCAGCAGTCACGCATAAAATTGATCAATGAGAGTTTAGACAATTTGATAAACAATTATGTTATAAACATTTTTGTAACATTAACATGTAGTCAATGCTGTTTTTGTTTCTACTCCTTGTGCATCATGAAAAAATGTAATAATCAGCACTGAACTGTTTTCAACATTTTGATTATGATTTCTGAAGGATCATGAGACATGTGAGGTAATAATGCTGATAATTCAACTTTGTTATAACAATAAAAAAAAAAAAATTAAATGAGCCAATAATGTTTTATTGTTTTTGAATGTTTTAAAAAACTTTACTGCCCTTTTTACATGTTTTTGTATACAGTTGAAAGCAAAATTATTGGAAATTTCTATTTTTTTAATATTTTTTCACAATATTTCCTACAATATTTTTTCTTCGGAGGAAAAACAAGTTTAAAAGCATTTTTATAACATTTTAAAACAATTTGAAGGTTAATATATTATAAGCTTCCTAACAATGATTTTTATAATTCAGTGTTTCTCAACCACGTTCCTGGAGGACCACCAACACTGCATGTTTTGGATGTCTCCTTTCTCTTTTACACCCATCACAAGTATTTCAGTCTCTGCTAATGAGCGGATATGTATGATCTGATGTATGATCTGAATCAGATGTGTTTGCTTAAGGAGACATGGGCTTCATCTAAACTTGCCTACTACTCAGTAGGAATGGAACTCAGATGTTCTACAGCTGCCATTTTGTCGTGGTCATGACATACATCAGTTGCATCGCTTTACTCCCATTCATGAATTCTCTCGCTGTGCATCATGGGATAGCGTAGCATGCATCTCGCCGGAAGTAGTAGGTCATCCGTGTACTTGATTACATGATTACCTAATTTTATTTTAATTATGTTAATTCGAACATACAATTCTGCTTGCATACTGATTTTAGCAAGCTATATTGTATGCTCGGTTGCAGAGCTGGTGGTGCTCCTGGAACGTGGTTTAGAAACACTGGTCTAATCAACTTGTCTAGACTAATACCCTAGTTCAGCCTTTAAATTGCAAATTAAGCCAAGTACTAATATCTTGTAATTGCGGCAAAAACTAAAGAAATTAGTTTTAAAAATTAATTTGCTTAAAAATGTGTTGCTGAAAAGAGTCTTGATCATTTTTACAGGAAGGCTAATCATTTTGACTTTGATTATATTTAGTCATTTAAAGTCAGTATTTCTTTATTTTGCATCCAGTACTTTTATCTACAATACACAGTCATTGACTTAAGACAAGTGAGTGATATTGTCAAAAAACTGAACATTTGTGATGTTGGTTATGTTTACAGGGCTTCTAGAAGTGCAGAGGATCTACCTGATGATCCTGTTGGACTCATCCGGGTCTAGGTCTTGAAAATCTCCAAGCTCACCATGTCCAGCTTCCAAATAAGCAGCAGAATCCCCCACCAGAGACTCTTCCATGTCATCGATAAGCGGACTGTGTCTGTCCCCATCGTGGTCATCACAGCCCTCCTCCATGACCACATCTGATTCAGCACCGGGACTCAACAAATCTGAGCCGCCATAAGAAGAGAACAGGAAGATAAAGTGAGTCATGTGATGTTATATATTTGATGAAAAAAAGCTGTCAGTTTAACACCATTAATCCTGGAACTTGAAAATGAGCAGTTTCAAATTCCCATTCAGAAAAGTACATCAATAATGTTTTATTCTAAAATATTCTAATATAAATAGGCAATAGCATAATAGAGGACTCACTGCAGTTACTGTATATCATTTTGTTCTTTAGCCTTTGCAAAAGATTTTATGCTTACTGTAAATGTACAAAAACACTTTTGTGTCGCTCTGATATTATAACTAATATCACAAATGACTCATAATTAGGGCCAGACAGAATTTGCAGATATTTTTGTTATTTCTGCTGAGAAATTTGTCAGAATTCTGTGGTTTTATGTGGAATGATTTTAGAAGTATTATAACTAAAACTTAATATATGAAAAATAAAACTTTTAAACTTTTATTTAATGTTTACAATGTAAATCCAATTAGATCCACTTAATTTGGTCAGTCTATTCTACTAAAATCTACTAAATACAGAAAATATTACTTTACAATGTGTTTTGCAAATAAATCATATCAACATTTTAATATTACTGTTATTATATCACAATAATATTATTAAAATTAATTTAAAAACTGAATAAATATAGATTTACACACATTTACACAAGTAAATACAAAGACTAAATGATGGGCTAAATCTGCAGATTTTAGTGTGTGCAGATTCCATATGGGCCTACTCATAATATCAATTTTAGCTTGAAAGGTTAATTCCCTCTAAAATGAAGACAATCATGTCTTTCCAAACTATCTATTTTTTTATGAAATCAATATTCTATTCACCTATTTTTTTAAAGGTTTTATAAATATAAATATTCTTTAAGCTTTTCATAAATACAACAAACTGGCTATTATTATCAAAAATGTACAACACATTTAAAATGCAATTTCTCATGTTCTCAATTTTTTTTCTCATAAAAGTTTTACCAAATCTAATTGCTATATTCAGCAAAACAAGTAGAAAAGGTAGTGTACATTTAAATATACACTAGTAAACTACAAACTATACGGTCAGTCCAATTTTAGTACACTCTATCAGTTGTATTTACATTTTGAAACACACGTTTATGTCATTTATCTAATTGGTATTTTTATTTTTTGAGCAACTTGGTGTTTTTTTTATCCTGAAAATAAGTAATATACAGTAAAATAAACAGTATAAACAGGTATGCATGCCTTCTAACGCATCAATAATACTGATTATTTATCAGAAGATACAACATTTATAAGGCATTATGCATGCATTAAGAACACATTTTAAACACTGTACAGTACATTCACAAGCCAAAAAATGCACAGTAAAAGCAATTAGTTACTTTTTTAAAAAAGGTGTGTAAACCCATTGTAACTTGAAACAGTTAAGTTGACTTCCTTTTTTTATTACTATACAAAAATGTAGGGATGCTTCGTTGATAGGCTAGAGATTGGTATCGGCCGATAATCAACTTTTATAACTCGATAGGTATTTGTATTTCTCATGAACCAATCTCAGATGTTTGGATTTAAATAAAATACCCCGAAAATCATGGAGATGACAGTGAATTAGCAAGAGAACAGATTGCGAGAGGCAAGCTCCTCAAGCTATACATTTGTTAGGATAGACAAATAGCACAGTACAGATATCTTGAGTGAACATTTCTGTCTCTCTCATCAAACGATCGAGCTGCTGTGAGGTTGTCTGGAGCATAGGACCTGCAGTTACAGATGTGGTAGTTGGAGAGCAAAATATTGGAATGGCCTTGCATGTATTTAAGCCTTTTTACATATATAAAGACTGAAAGTTCTCTGACTATTTTATCTATTATTTTCTGTAAAGCTGCTTCTGACCATCACACATCCACACAAAACAGTTATAAGAGACATGTTTAAGGGATTATATGAAACATCCTTCATTTATTCTCTTAGGTAAAATCCTGATTGGAGCATCCCTACAAAAATGTATTTATAAATTTAAGAAAACAGATTTACTCACGTTTTAAAGTAATCTAATCACTTACACTGTGCTACTATTACACCATATTATGTGGATTGCAATTACATTGTGGTTTGAGTGATTTAAATGATGACATAATTGATTTTTTTTAACCATTTAACGTATATTAATAAAATAAACAAACAAGCTGAATTCTTACAACCATAAAGCTGTTGTTTCCTAATCTGAGCACAATGTTTTCCACATGAAGTATGATGTTCACGTGGCGTTTACTGTTCAGTGAGATAAATATTGTTGTTTTTGTGGTGAAAGTGCAGTGTTGATCATTGCATCGCATGGAGATGCTAAAGTTAGACTTGCCTCCGTTTCTTGACACCTCTCCGAGGCAGTTGTTTGGCACTTTGGGTGCACATCGTTTATGGCAGTTGAATTTGCAATCTGAGACGGTGTGAGGGAAAAGAGAGTGCAGAAGAATGACAGAGCGACAGAGAGAAAGAGTTAAAGGGGAAGCAAGAGAGGGAGAGAGTTTACTACCAATCTGGCACATAAACATATGAGTTCCTGTTGTGCTGGTGGCTGACAGGCTGAGACCTCGCACATTGAACACACGAACATTAAAGCTGTTTGTAACAGCCCAGCCAACTGCACTCTTTACTGCTTGGCACATGGCATATATTCCTCTTACACAAACACATCGTATACACTGTAAAGGCAGCTGTTGTGTCACTGTGTATTTGTGTGCTGTGTTCGAGATGACAAAAAAGGATCAACAAATTCGACGATTTGTTAAACTGATAGCTGCAACGTTATCGGGATGTCAGATCTGTAAAGCAAGCAGCAATGTATTAAATACCAGCACCTATGTGTTCTCTGTTTGTAGCATCTATTATGTATTAGTGTGCAGGATGCTACTTCCATTTATAGATGTAATACTGTTCGAATTCATGTGTCAAACCAAAAGTATCATACCAAATAATGCTAAATAATGTACAATTGGTTAAAGGTATATGGTGACTAAATAGAAGGAGATTTTTACAAACATTTATTTTGGGGTGTGTTCACACACTTCAAAAAATTGGATAGATTAAAACAAAGTCTGGTGTAAAATGTGGACTTTTTTATACCATCACTCATTAAAGCCATTTTTCTTTGCTAAGTTCACACATAAAAATCACAATGTGAATGCGAAACGTAACAGGACAAAATAAAATAAGGTGTAATTTTAATCATGGTGTAACAGGGCAAGAGATGGAAAAATCTCACATAAAAATACTATAGTAATTTTTTGTTGTTGCAAATATTCGTGTTTTTGAACCATAAGTTTGCTATACATACACTCATTGGCCACTTTATAAGGTACACCTGTCCAACTGCTTGTTAACTCAAATTTCTAATCATCCAATCACATGACAGCAACTCATGGTAAAGACGATCTGCTGCCCTTCTAATCGAGCATCAGAATGGGGAAGAAAAGTGACTTTGAATGTGGCATAGTTGTTGGTGCCAGACGTACTGGTCTGAGTATTTCAGAAACTGCTGACCTACAGGGATTTCCATGCACAACCATCTCTAGGGTTTACAGTGAATGGTTAGAAAAAGAGAAAATATCCAGTGAGCACCGTTCTGTGGGCGCAAATGCCTTGTTGATGCCAGAGGTCAGAGGAGAATAGCTAGACTGGTTTGAGATAATACAAGGCAACAGCAACTGAAATAGCCACTCGTACAATCGAGGTATGCAGAAGAGGATCTGTGTATGCACAACACGTCCAGCCTTGAAGCAGAAGGGCTACAGCAGCAAAAGACCACACCGGGTCACAAAAACGAAAACACTCCTGTCAGCCAAGAACAGGAAACTGAGTCTACAATTCACACAGGTTTACCAAAATTGGACATTAGGAGATTGGAAAAGCATTGCCTGGTCTGATGAGTCTTGATTTCTACAGCAACATTTGGATGGTAGAGTCAGAATCTGGCATCTACAAGATGAAAGCATGGTTCCATCCTGCCTTGTATCAACGGTTTAGGCTGTTGATGTTGGTATAATGGTGTGGGGAATATTTTCTTGGCACACTTTGGGCTCATTAGTACAAATTGAGCACTGTGTCAACAACACAGCCTACCAGAGTATTGCTGCCGACCATGTCCTTCCCTTTATGACCACAGTGTACCCATCTTCTGATAGCTACTTTCAGCAGGATAACGCACCATTTCATTAAGTGTGAATCATCTCAGACTGGTTTCTTGAACATGAAAATAAGTTCACTGTACTCAAATGGCCTCCACACTCACCAGATCTCAATCCAGTAGAGTGCCTTTGGGATGAGGTGGAGTGGGAGATTTACATCATGGATGTGCAGCTGACAAATCTGCAGCAACTGTGGTATACTATCATGTCAATATGGCCCAAAATCTCTGAAGAATATTTCCAGTATCTTGTTGAATCTATGCCACGGTGGATTAAGGCAGTTCTGAAGGCAAAAGGGGGTTCAACCCCGTACTAGTAAGGCAACCCAATAAAGTGGCCAGTGAGTACATATGTTATAGTATTTCCAACTCTTTGTTAATGAATGCTACAGCCTACAGTAATATTAACTATAGTGAACTTATAAACAGCAATACATACTGTAGTGTACTTTAGTTTGTACTACGGTAAACTGTGCTGTTTTGTCGTATAATATACTCTGTAGTTGTGCACTATAAAAATGCTGTTTCACACAATTTCTTCATGTTGTTCCAACACAAACCAATTAAATTGTCCCCCCCAAAAAACTCAAAAATTGTGTTGATTCTGCACATTTTAATTAAGAAGTCTGAAAAAGCTGCAACAATATTTTAGTGTAGAAAACTTGTTTAGGTAAATTATGTATATTACTATAGCTCTTGTACTACCATAGCAAAAACACATCAATGAAAGTACTTTACAATAGTATGCTTCAAAAACACTATAGTGTATATTATAAGAATAAAACAGACAGACATTAAAGTGGCTTTCACCATAAAAAGTCTTTTTTTTATCAAACTTTTGGTAGAAATAACCCAGTATTTTTAGAGAATCTGTTCCAAATCACCCAATATTTATATAGTCAGTTTCATATTATTGTTTGATTATCTATTCATTAATGATAGGCTGTATTCAGTCATATTCAGCACATTCAATGTTCAGCATTTTAGTTTTATATGTGGGAAAACAGCCCCACTGAGCTTCATTTTAAAACCATACATCACTCATATAATTGGAAAATAATCTTCTGGAGATATTGCAGTGAATATTACATAAAACACATTTGTGTACTTTGTATAATTAGTTTCATGGATATTCTGTATAAAGTAATGAGTCACGAAAATGTATGATTATTCTCCAATGGAGGCTTAGATCAGTTAATATCGTTTTTACTACAGAGAATTCGAATTACACAGGAACATTGGAATCAGAAGGGATTTAGATGAGGCGCATTATTATGCGAAGCAATAAGACATTACAAGAATTACTGAGTGACAATGAGGCGTAAAAGTTTCAAGATGATTGTTTTCTAACTAAAGCTTGAGATATTGCGGATCCTACCTTTGCACTGCAGTCCCTGACGGAACAGGCCCTTGAGGAGCTTCTTGCAATGCTGGCAAACAGTGGGTCGCGTGTAGGAATGGATGACAAACGTGTGTGGCACCTTCACTTTAGACAGCAGGATCTTGTCCAGCTCTATCGGTCGACCTATATAGGACTGGGAATTGGAACGGCCTCTTCCTGGAAAGATGTCTGATGGGGTTTTTTGCTGTGGATGAATAATGTAGAACATTGTGATGTGCATCATCTGAGATAGACTTTTTTTAATTATCCCCACAACACAAAGACCTTTATGTATACGTCACATGTTTAACTGTGTTTAACCTGATAAACGATCACATTTTCATTCATGAATTCATGCACAACCTCCTACATTTTGTTCTGTTTTATGATTGTTATTGTTTTGTTTTAGGTTTCATATATGACCCTGGACAACAAATCAAGTCCTAAAAGTGTCATATTTTTTAAATTTAGATTAATTAATAAATTAAATTAATCTGAAAAGCTGAATAAATAATATATTTTTCATTGATTTACACTTTAACAAAATAGAACAATGTTTGGCCTGGACGCTACTGTTTAAAGATCTGGAACATGAGGGACAAATAATAATAATCAGAAAATCACCTATAAAGTTGTTGCCTGTAAAGTCAAGAGCTTAGCAATGCGCATTACTAAGGAAAATTAAGTATTGAACACGTCACCATTTGAACACGTCACCATTTTTGTCAGAAAACATTTTTGTAAAGGTGTCGTTGACTTGAACTTTTCCCCGGATGTTGGTAACAACCAAAGAAATCCATATGCAAATAAAACATCTAATTAGTTTACAAATTAAGTTATGCATAAAAATATAAGGGGCAGCACAGTGGCGCAATGGGTACCACAATCGCCTTACAGCAAGAAGGTCGCTGGTTCGAGCCCCGGCTTGGTCAGTTGGCATTTCTGTGTGGAGTTTGCATGTTCTCCCCATGTTGGTGTGGGTTTCCTCTGGGTGCTCCAGTTTTCCCACAGTCCAAAGATATGCGCTATAGGTGAATTAAATTTGTTAAATTGGCTGTAGTGTAAGTGAGTGTGTGCAAGAGTGTGTGGGTGTTTTCCAGTGTTGGGATGCGGCTGGTAGGGCATCCGCTGTGTATAACGTGCTGGATAAGTTGGCGGTTCATTCTGCTGTGGCGACCCCAGATTAATAAAGGGACTAAGCCGAAAACAAAATGAATGAATAAATTAATAATAAAATGAAATAATGTAAGGTAAAATGAATTGAACACATGCAGAAAAGAAGGCAGTGAATGCTCAGACAGCAGCTGAAATCTCTCAGTATCAACTTCTTAACTTCTTCAGCAACCCTCTGCCCTTCCTCATTGTAAATGCTAATTAGCTGCTTCAGTGCAACATCTACATTACCAAGATGATGAAGATAAAACCAGGGTAAACATTTCAGCAGGACAGTGATCCAAATCACTGCCAAGGAAACTCTCAAATGCTTTCAGAGAAAGAAAATCAAGCTGTAGAATGGCCCAGCCAATCACCTGACTTGAATCCAATAGAAAATAAAAATTAAAGATCAGATTTGATAGAAGAGATCCACAGAACTATCAAGATTTTTACACTCTGTTGAAGTCTGTGGAAAAAAAAATCACCTGACAAATTCATGTGACTTCATTCTTCATATGATAGGCGTCTTTAAGCTGCTATCAACAAAAAGCTCTTTATATAAAGTAATAAATACATTTCAGTAATTCAGTACTTTCTCCTTGTAATTTCATCGTTAATACCCATAACTAATTTTTCAGATTTGTACAGTTTTTTTTGTTTTTTTTATTTTTTTTTTGTATAGATTATTATAGATTATTGTATAGATTATTTTTTAATAACCAAAACTGGTTCGATTCCTTGTCAACAGCTCTTTTAAAAATATTATTTCTAGAAAAAAAACTATTGTGTTCAATACTTCCCCCACTGTATTTATAGTTGTAATTTAAGAAAATATCTTCATGGAACGTGATCTTTACTTAATATTCTTATGATTTTTGGCATGAAACTAAAATAATTTTTTATGACCACACTATGCATTTTAACATGTATTTCTGGTTATTGCCAAAACTATAGCTGGCAAATGCCACACTACACATTATGCATTTATGCACTATGTACTTATGCGCTTACACACTCAACAGCATAGTATGTACTGTATGTATGTATGTTTGTATGTATGTATGTAGTGTCGTTCCGAATGGAACACTTATTTTTTTTTTTTTACTAAGCAGAAGTTCAAACCGTTTCCCAGATGAAGTTTGATAGTTGTCAAATTAGTGAAATAAATGACCAAACTACCAAATGATTCCTGCCATGAGTTTAACCGCATTCACCATTGGGAGGCGCTATAATCACTCTCGAAGGAGAATACAGCTTTCACAATCCAAAATAAATGATGTAATCTAACATCAGTAGCTTAAAGCTCCGCCCCTTCCGCTATGTGTGCAAAGCAGCAGCCGGTTAGTGCATGAAGTGTCCAACATTCCACATTTCATTTTAACGTTGAATAAGTGCATCATACAGGTACTTAAAGTGCACTTTTTCTTTTTAGAGTTTTCAGTGTGAATGCGCTCCTTACACTATTTATACTACAAATTGGCAAACAATAGTGTATAAGTATGTGATTTGGGACACACCTTTTCCCTGTGTAACATAAGACAAGTTTTGTGATCCAGGGTCACACATTTGTTTTAGCTAAAAAGCTTATAATAAAACAGGTCGTTTGATTGCAGAAAACAATGTTAAACTTACAAAAAAATAATATAAGCTACATAAAATTACACTCAATAAAATAACCCCAACTTCAACTAAATTTAAAATACAAACTATTTATTAAACTTGAAGTATCTGGATCACACTAAAATAACACCAACTAGTTTGGCGTAATTTAACAAACACTTTCAGATCAAATCAACGAGCAGTGCCATTTTAGCTGGTGAATGCAAAAGGAGCATTTTTCAAAGGCAAATCAGAAGGATTCATTTGTGACACGAGTTCACAGGTATTAACCCAAGTCGAGTCAGCGGCACACTGCTCTCGATTAAGTGAACAAAAACACGAGGGCTCTACGAGGGTCATGCTGAGGGAGATTGTTGTATACGCTGAGCTTTGATGAATTTGCATCAACTCAGAACAACAACTTTCTCATCAAGCTGATCTTTAATGTGCTGCTGATTGGCAAAGATGCAGATGTCTTACCACCTGTTGTGAATGGATCTGACATCACGCAGGTGCGCATAATCAACTATTCAATGTGCTCTAAAGAAAGAAAATGATCAATAGTTTCCTGTTGCCGTGTTGTACACTTCACCAAAGGGCCCTAAGTAGATTGGAGGTACGGTAAACTTCCAGCTCAATTCAACTAAAGTACAGATGCGCTTCATTTGCTGTAACCTGTCTTAGGTGTAGAGAACAGATTAGAGAGCGGTTAACAGATGTTTGATTCTGCCGTCAACAGCCGATTAACAGTTTTCTTCAAACAAACTCTACATGTGTACCACAACATTTCTGGTGTCAGGTTAAAATGCTTTAACCTCTCGGAGAAAAGAAATGTACATCTGGCTTAAAGAAATGGGGGAAAGGGCAAACTGTTCCTCTGCATAATGTTTCAGCCTAAAGTTAAATCATTTGTTTATATATATATATTATATATTATATATGTGACTCCTTCTGTAAAAAAGCTAAAGTAATTTTTTATGATGTGCTGGTTTTGACATGCAATCATTCTACACACTGTAAAGAATATTACGTGAAAACATGACCTTGATATCTTTAACGTTGATTGAGTTGAGCCATGACAAAGATTGGCTTCATCTCAGACTCTGAAAATCATATATATATTTTTAAAAATCCAATGTAAAGAAAAGCTTATATTATTTAAACTGCAATACATGACCATAATTGTCCTGATTTTGTGCCATATAATATATATATATATATATATATATATATATATATATATATATATATATATATATATATATATATATATATATATATATAATATATATAATAAATTAAATCTGTAATTTTCCCATTTTTAGTGATATATGACACATTTTTATTAGATTTATATAAAATTAGCTGTTTAAAAATCTTCTTTCTGCTACTCGCGCTTCAGCTGACCTGTCTGATGAAAAATTTAAGCCATTGCATCAGTATGCTCTCGAACCTCAATATTTGGCAGTGTTTCAGTCATAAAATTACCTAAAAATAAGGGAGTTACCTTGACACAAGTTAATTATTCTTGAAATTTTAGCAATCAATCTAAAAAACCTCAATATAAAGCTCCCCATTCCACACTTCAAAAATTGCTGTAAATTGTACAGTATTGCTGGCAATTTTGTTTGTGCTGCAAATTAATAATTGCAATTGTGCTGTAATACTAGTTTTACATTGTATCAAATACAAAATAAAATGCATATTCCATCGTGAACTGTATAATTAAAAAAAAAATTGTGGTTTTAAACTTTTATAAGTTTATTTCTACTGTTCTTAAAGACAAAAAATAAATATTTGAAAGAATGCTGGTTGCTAGGGAACCATCGACTTCCATAATCCGCTTGTTAGGTGTGACGTCGCACAAAGCAGCTTCTGGGTCGAAGCGCTATAACAAGTTGTATGGGTCGCCACAGCGGAATGAACCGCCAACTTATCCAGCAAGTTTTTTATGGAGTGGATGCCCTTCCAGCCACAACCCATCTCTGGGAAACATCAACACACTCATTCACACACACACACACACACACACACACTACGGACAATTTAGCCTACCCAGTTCACCTGTACCGCATGTCTTTGGACTGTGGGGGAAACCGGAGCACCTGGAGAAAACCCACGCGAACGCAGGGAGAACATGCGAACTCCACATAGAAACGCCAACTGAGCCGAGGTTCGAACCAGCGACCATCTTGCTGTGAAGCGACAGCACTACCTACTGCGCCACTGCGTCTCCCCGATTTTAATATAATTAAGGTAATACTCTTATTAAGAGTCTACCAGATAAGCAGCGATTTTTGATTACCTTAAAGGACCACAGAGTTACAAAATGCGGAAGTTTTTCTTTCCGTTCGCCATGCAGTAGCAAATTGCATTAAAGCAGAATTCGAAAGTTAAAAATGAAACACCCGAAATTGCATGAAACTCTGGAGGAAACGCAGTATAGCCTGGTAATGCAACATTAATTGTTTTAAACTAAAACTTGCCTTCATAAAGTGCTTCCTTGGTCTTAACCATGTTAAACACACGTCGACCACAACAGGAAATAAAAAAAAACTACAACTGCGTTAATGTTTTTTAACGCGTTAGAGATTTCAAATGAATCACATGCGTTAAGACACTAATTTTGAAAGCACTAATAATAACATACTAGTAATGATAACAGTTTACAAAGTGCTGTACCTTCAAAAATCACGATCGTGATATATATTCATGCCTAATATCCGATGACCAGAAAGTGATTAATATTTTATAAATTGTTAAAATACTGATGTCTGTGACGCAGTTTAGAGATTGCTGTGTGCATCATGATTTTATACAAAATTCCCTTTAATGTGTGTGTGATAGGACTAAAAAGTGGTTATAAACGAACATTTTCTCAATTCAAATAAGCAGCTTGGACCTGTAAACATTATTTCATGCGTCACCGATACTGTGCAGTCAATGAGTTTAAACAACCAGCATTTTTCAAAATATCTTCTTTTGTGTTCAACAGAAGAAAGAAACTCAAATAGGTTTTAAACAAGTGAAGGGTGAGTAAACTATGACAGAATTTTCTTTTTTTCGGGTGCGCTGTCCCTTTAAATCCCTTCATTGATTTAAGTGTTTTCCTCTTATGTCATGTTCCTCATATTTTGATGGTGGATTTAAGCTTGTACAGTGATTAATTATAAATACACAGTGGGGGAAATAAGTATTCAACACCTCACCATTTTTCTCAGTAAAAATATTTTTAAAGGTGCCGTTGACTTGAAATTTTCACTAGATGTTGGTAACAAACAAAGAAATCCATATATGCAAAGAAAACAATATTAATTAGTTTACAAATTAAGTTAATGAAGACATGAAAAAAAGTATTAAACATTTGAAGAAAGAGGGGTGTAAAAACCCAGACAGCAGCTGAAATCTCTCAGTAGGTCTTCAGCAATCCTCTGTCCTTTGTCATTGTAAATGCTAATTAGCTGCTTCAGTCCAACATCTACATTACCTTGATGATCAAGATGAAACCAGAGTAGACATTTCAGCAAGACAGTCTTCCAGAACAGCCAAGGAAACTCTCAAATGCTTTCAGAGAAAGTTAATCAATCTGTAGAATGGCCCAGCCAATCACCTGACTTGAATCCAGTAGAACATACAAATTAAAGATCATATTTGATAGGCGAGACCCACAGAACTATCAAGATTTTTACACTCTGTTGAAGTCTGTGGAAAACTCACACCAGAGCAATTCATGTGACTTCATTCTCCATATGAGAGGTGTCTTTTATATAAATAATTAAACACATTTCAATAGTTCAGTACTTTCTCTTTGTGTCATTCCATTGTTAATATACATTAAAAAAAATCTAAAAAATTTTATTGTTTTGATTTATTTTTATGTTTGTATTGTTTTTACCAAAATCTGGTTCATGTCCATGTCAACAGCTCCTTTGGAATTATTATTTCAAGGAAAAAAACATGACGTTCAATACTTTTTCCCACTGTATTTTAAAATGTAATTATTTATTTACATCGCTGGAATGAACCCATTTTCTAGTAGAAAGGTTTCTCTCAAAACTTTTTATCAAACATTTTCATATTGCATACAAAAAGGGGTGTATGGCACACAAAATATCACAAAGTGGTTAGTTAAAGCTGAATTAGTGCCTACCTCCATGCTAGGACTGACAGGAGACTGTGCAGGAATGAAAGATGAGTGAGAAGAGGTAGAGAAAGACAAACAGAGAATCAGTAGTGTTAATAATAAACACAACATGCATGCATAAGAAAGGATGAACATTAATTAGACAGTCAGTAACATTGGACATTATTAGGGTTATGTTCCTGCTGTGTTTATGACATTCATCGGGGGATGAATTCACTAAAATCTTCTTAAGAAAAGGAATAAGAGAATAAGATCAATTCTGGAAGTTTGTGAGAATTTTTTTTTATTAAAAATAAATATGTTCTTGTCATAAACTCACACTCAAGTGGTTCTAATTTTTTATGCATTTCTTTCTACTCTTGATCTCAAAACCATGTATTCTGAAGAATGAGCCATTTACATTCAGAGAAACAAAAGTACTACAATCAATGGATGATTTTTCCATCATTTTTGAGAATATCTTACTTGGGTTGCCTCTTCTTGTTAAAGCTTAGTTAAGCTAAAGTTAATTTGTGAATGGTCCGTTTGTTCAAAAGCATCTACTAAATGACTAAATGTACAAGTAAGAGAATCTCAAACAGGTTTGGAACAAGTGGAAGAGTAAAAGATGACAAAATTTTTCATTTTGCTGAAAACTATACCATTAAGTGGGATTCCTAAAAATGTTAACATCTCAGATTTTTTCTTAAGAACATCCTCAAATTTATGATCAGTATATTTTAATTGTGTAACTTTATTGTACTGAGTAGTTTTTTTTATGTAGAGCATTTGAGATGTGCTCTTTCTTATGTTTTGTCTTAAAACAATAGTTTGTCAAAAAATGAAAATTCTGTAATCATTGAATCACCCTCTACTTGTTCCAAACATGTTTGAGTTTTTTTTCTTCTGTTAAACACAAAAGAAGATATTTTAAGGAATGTTGGAAAGCAACAGCCATTGACTTCTATAACATTTTTTGTTCCTCCTATGGACGTCAATGGCTGCTGATCTTTGCCATTCTTCAGAATATCTTGTGTCATGTTTAACAGAAAAAAAAACCTCATCCAGGTCTGAGGATGAGTGAATGATGACAGAATTTTTAGATTTCGGTGAACTATCCCTTTAAAAACAATCTTAGGGGGGGAAATAAAGATAAGTACATTCCTAAGAAGATTGCTGGAGGAAAAAAAGACTTATTATCCTTTATCACTCATATTTGAATACTGTATGTACTGACAGGAAAGGGGAGGATGTGATTTTGTCAAACTCACAAGCAGTGCTTCATCAGAGGTGCTGGGGGACGGTTCAGCAGAAATAGAGCGAGTGTTGGTCAGGCCCGTGAGGGACACATTGGAGAGTCGTCGTTTTCGGATGCCACTGCAGTTGTTGGGGATTTTAAAGGCACAGCGTTTGTGGTAGTTCAGCCCACAGCCTGACACAAAGACAATCAGTTATTGAATCTCATGTAGAGTTAATGGAAATTTAACAGAGAGTACAGTATTTACCTTCACACTTGAGCCCCTGCCTCACTAAACCCCACAGCATCTCTCCACAGTGATCGCAGAATGCTGGAGCCCGATATGAGTGGACGAACAGAGCATGAGGCCGGATTTGAAAGTCCTCCACCGTAGCTGAGGCTGAGGGTGTCAAACAAACAAGCAAATCTGAACTTTATTCTAGTGTATTCACAAGTATAAGAGAATAAAAACAAATAATAAGAGGTTATAACAGGTTATAAATTTTAAAGATATATTTGATATTACTGTCAGCCACTGAACATTTCTATTGTAAAATAGTCATAATATATATAAATATATATATAATGTTTGACTAGTTCAGTCATACCTCGGGCACTGTCTAGTTTCACTTTCAACCATATTACTATTTTGAAGTATCCCTTTTAAAAGGCCAGTTTTTTAATGACACCAACATCCAGGAAGTGACATCAGCAATTCAGATAATTAACAGGGGATTTGATTGTTTTGTTTAGTGTTTTGTTGCATCAGTTGCTGTTTTTCACAATAAAACATTCCATTCTGTTCAGGAATATTATCATATATAAAAAAAATAAATAAAAAATAACTTTAACCAAACTTCCAAAATATCCCTTTAACTGCCTGCTCGACCAAATAGTTGAACATATTTTGACTGTTTTAAATAATGACTGTTAAATTAATTTAAAGAATGACTGTTAGAAATAATGGTTTACAAACACAGCATTGTTGGTTTACAAAAAAAAAAAAAAAAAAAAAAATCAAACAAACATAATCCTGTTGCACCACTACATTTGATTTTGGTTTTATTGTAAAAGAAAACAAGAAAACGTGTTAAATGAGATTCTGAAAGATTTTATAGCGTACTTCAAAAAATAAAGATGATTTAATATTCAATTATTATTTTATTTTGATATCATTTTATTTTGATATTATTTTATTTTTATTTCAACCATTTGGTAGAGATTAATATTTTAGAAATTATTATTGTGTTCAAATAAAATGCAGTTAAGAAATGCAATCCAATTTTTTTTCTTGGTGGGGCAGTTAAAGAGTTGAAACAAAAAAATAGGCAACACTTTATTTTAAGTACTAATTCTCATAAACATGTGGCTTATTACCTGCCTATTATTAGTGTTTTGGCTGTTTATTAGTATGTATAATGTATATTTTCTGCATGATCATATTCTACATCCCAAATGCCCAATATCTAAACTTAACTATGGCCTTAATTACTTTTAATAAGGAGCAAATTAGTAGTTTACTGAGCTAAAAGACTAATGGTTTCATTAATAGTGAGAACTGTACCTTAAAATAAAGTGTGGCCAAAAATCTATTTAAGCTTAAAAAAATATGTTATATTTGAAAGAGTCAAACAATGGTTGAAACGTTTTGTTAAAAAAAAAAGAAGAAAATAATTTTTTTTTAGATTAAATTAAGTTGACACCCTCATTTAAGGAAACTCTAATTTTAGCTTTTTATTTCCACCCTTAAAAAGCACCCAGCTAATAAGCAAATAGTCCAGCTATAATTAATAAAGTGTCTGGGCTTGACCACAGTGTGTTTCTGTGCAGTACACTTTCACAGAAATCTGCCCTTAAATTATAACACAAGCATTATCATTTTTAATACACACCGTTTAAACTGCACTGAATAATGGGAATGACCCTGTATCTTGCCCAAGAGCACAATATCACTATAATATTATATTTAAAAATACAATTATGAAGAAAAATAATTTGTGTAAATAGAACAGCTGAAAAAGGACCTGAGAGGGAAATTTTAAGACAAATTTAAGTAATATGTCACTTCAATCCTAACAGCACCCCATATACCCCAAAATTCAATTATTAGAAATATTTTATATAGCTGTTTGACATTCAAAGAAATGAAATTCAGAAGTCTTTTGTCTCTAAATACATGGTAGCTTCAGGCATTCTCATTAACTGCATAAATCTGCTGATCTATGACTCACTTCACTGTAACAACCACAATTACGCATAACAATTACAAAATTAAAACTGATCAAATTACCTCAGCTTTGATCTTTTTTTATTATTCTCCTCTAACCATCCTGATACTTGCAATTAACATGATTTGTGCACTTTATTTGAAGTTGTTTGGTAAATCTGCATCTGCTAAAAAAAAATAACATCAACGTAAATCCTGGCAAATTCATTAAAGCACACGCAATACCTGAGGAGAGACGTCAAGTTTTGACAACCTTAAACTCTCAGACATCTGTTATTTGTGCATAATTGTGGCTGTTCAAGTGAAGTGAGTCATAGATCATCCCGAGTGCTTAATTTCCAATTCACAACTTAAAATCATAATTAAACCTGTTTTCCCATAACAACTCACATAAATAAGCACGGTTTTGTTTGCATTATTTGGACTTTCGACTTCATGAGGGAATTTGCTTCGCTCTTAATCCCAGCAGCACTGAGTAAACATGTCATGATTAAAAAGGCAAACAAATGTTGCAGAGGGAGTTCTATCTTTATTTTACGAACCGTCCTCTTTCGAGCTCCCACAAGGCATGTGTATCTTTGGGGTGCAGATGGATGAGAGGGTGGGCCAAATCCAATCTATCAATGGCCAGTCTGGCACGCTTTGCCCGTCTCCACAGAAGTGCCACAAGGCCTGGGCAGCAGGCTCTCTGGCCTTGCCTAATTCTAATCAGATGGGCAGACCGTGTGTCTGTCAGGGTTAATGGGCTAGAGATGCTGGTCCCTTTAGAGGGGCTTTTGGTCAAGTACTAATTAATTGAAGATTCAGTTTTGAGTGCTTAAAAAAAAAAAAAAAGACAAAAATCTGCATGCCAGCAGGATATTTTGCTTTAACCCTTGTGTGCCAATTTTAAAAAGTTACACATGGGTCCACATGGGACAAAAATTACTATGTTTACATGGACATCAGTAATCAAATTATTTGTCCTTATTGTCTTAAAGACAATAATATAATTAAGGTGTTTACATGAGTTGCTTTGTTCCTTTCATGATCCTGTTTTACATGTAAAAGCACACAGTTTGATTAACGTCGTTGCATCACAGCGCTATCCATGTTTCCTCTGAAGTATCATATAATTTTGGGTGTTTCATTTTTATTTTGTCGACTTTAACTGCAGTTTGTCACTTTCACTTTCATTGAGGACCGTTTCATGCATGCCCCCATGACAAACGAGATATTGGATGTAATTATGAACTGCTGGATGAATGTTGTTTAATGGAATTTGATACAGCACGCTATATGGGGGAAAAAAACTCAACATTTCGCAATGTAGGTGTCTGTGGTCCTTCATTGACTCAGTCAGTGCAGAGAATAGTGTCAAACAGCGGTGTGTATGGAATATCCTGTCACAAAATGCGGCAAAATTCCTACATGTCTTAATAATACGGTGCAGTGTTTACATGTCTGTACTGTTTACATGCCTGTATTGCACTTCAATAACGTGACTAAAATCGGCATACTCCACATGTCTTAATTCGATATCTGTTTAGTTCAATTATGACCTTAATCGGATTAAATTAATCAAAAATTGCTGTTTACATGTTAGACCCTTAATTAGAGTATTGTCCTAATCCTAATAAAATCGGACTATTGGTGTCCGTAAACATACTCACAGTCTAAAAAAAAGACATCATAAAGTGTTTTTCTACAGTTTGACTGACATAGATTTTTTTTAACATCCATCCCGAGGAACTAATTTTAACTCTTTAGAGGTCCCATTAATTTACAATAAAGTTTTTCAGATTTTAGTATCAGTATTGTTCATTTTTAAGATATCGATAAGCTAGTGTGCTCCAAAACAGAGTGTTTAACCTTGGCATCCTGGCCAAATTTGCCCACTGGCCTCTGTCCATCATGGCCTCCTAACTATCCCATAATCATAATTGGCTTCATCACTTTGTCTCCTCTCCACCAATCAGCTGGTGTGTGGTGTGCAGTCTGGCGCAATATGGCTGCCGTCATGTCATCCAGGTGGATGCTGAACACTGGTGGTAAATGATTGCCCCCAATGTGTAAAGCGCTTTGAGTGTCTAGAAAAGCGCTATATAAAAGGAATTATTATTATTATTATTATTATAATTATTATTATTATTCTCTATTAGTATAGCTAATTAACCACAATATATATTTATATTTTTTATTAAATTTCCTATTAATTGTTTTTTATTAACATCTAACCCCTACTCCAATCCTAAACTCAACTGTCACAGTACTGTAAAAATATGAATAATTGTTATACAGTGTTACAAAAATGATCAGATCCGCAGCTGTATCCTATCTAGACCTTACCCTGAAACTGCATATTATAAAAGAACTTTACGAGACCATTGTAGTACATAATGGTATAGTACAAAGTATCAGCGTAGCACATAATGCCACTGCTGTTTTCAAAACATTAAAATTTATTATATTCTATATATTAAGTACATTGCAGAATTTTCTTCTTTATGAATTATTAAAATCGTGGATGAGTTTATAAGGAAAAACTATACTTTTTGATCCAGTTATTTTTTGTGAAGTGTCAAAAAAGCTCTCATATAAACATATATATGTCAGTAACACACACAGATTAATATCATTGCATTAATTCATTTAGCCTGGAGTCCTTAAAAGCAGTAAAAAGGATTGATTGATTGATTGATTGATTGATTGATTGATTGATTGATTGATTGATTGATTGATTGATTGATTGATTGATTGATTGATTGATTGGAAGCAAAATATTATTAACAACAAAATAGAAGCCTTTTAGGAAAAGATGTATGACTTTTTGCTTAAATGCTGCTGGAATGAAATATTGTGCCACTGTGGACATTTTTGTCTTGTATACGTCTTGAGAAAAACTATTTTTATAACCTAATTAATTGTATATTTATAAAAGTAAATTAGGTAAAAATCACAATTTAATTTATAATACACATTTTTCCTCCAAATATACATGCTGTTTACATTAACAGCCTATCACAGTGATCACAGAAACTAAAATGAAAAGACCAAAATCTCCATAAGGATGCACAAGGCACCTCCAAAAGCAGCGCTCCCACAAAAAGCAGCATAATCTTAACAGAACCTTCCGAATCCACCGAGCGATATGACGAATTTTAATTGCCATCCAAACTCTTCCAAACAAACCCAGCTTTATTTATATTTGCAAATTGTAGTATGAAAGGGAAGCTTTTGGGGCGGTTGGAGTGTTTTGATTGGCTCTTGTTGGCTGCATGTTGACAGGACCAATAGCGTCTGAGTGGCGAGCGCAGCGGGGGAACTGCCTGCCTCAAGGCTCGCGTGTCGCCTCCTCTCCAACATGGCTTCCCCTTGCACGCTCAAGTAGAATACATTCTGATTAGCCATTCTGCAGCTAAATTACCTCAATTCATTCAAATTATTGTTTTGCCTTTTGTTTAAAGGCCAAGATATGTTTGCAAGTTGAACTACCTGTAAACTGTCATTAAATGCTTCAGGGAAATGAGTATGATGCTGAAAAGGCATCCTGAGTTGACTTAATGCAAATACTTGTTTCTCCAGTTGTATTTTTTTCTCCCATTGCTGCTGGTGGAAATCAGAAGTTTTGTGCCCTACGCACTCCGACCAGCCATTTTTCTATGAGGGAAAAACAGCCGTACAGTCAGGGCCTAAAATGAACACTCACTAAGTGCCAATGTGAGTAAAGAGCAGTGGTGGTGAGTGTGTGAAATAGTGTCACTCGTCAGTTTTAATTTATTCTGAGAATGCATCATGGAATATTTCAGTGTGTATGTTATATGATGCGCAGCAATGGAATCTTCTGAGATGAGCAGCTCATACTAACAGTGACTATGTTTACATGGACATCAGTAATCTAACTATTTGCCTTAATGTGAATAAGGCAATAATAAGATGGTGTTTACATGAGTTGCTTTTTGAATGTTGCTTTCATGATCATGTTTTACATGTTATAGCACATCATTCGATTAACATCATTGCGTCACATCCAAATGTCCTCCTAAGTTTCATGTAATTTTGAGTGTTTCATTTTTATTTTGATGACTTTAACTGCAGTTTGGCACTTTCACTTTCATTCAGGACCATTTCATGACAAACGAGATATTGAATGTGAGTATGAACTGCTGGAAGAGTGTTGTTTTAATGGAATTTTTGTTACTGCACACCGTATTGGAAAAAAAAATCTCTGCATTTCGTGATGCAGGTGTCTCTGGTTCTTTAGGCTGCATTTACACTGCAGATCTAAGTGGTCAATTCCGATTTTGTGACTGTATATATTTTTGGATGACCAGCTTACATCATCTTTTAAAAACGACTCTTATTCGATTGTTTGCATTTACACTACACACGACAAAGGCACAATAAACAGGAAAAAAAGAGCAGGCGCTGACTGACAGCTGATAATTAAAGAGCGACCTTTTATCCATTCCTGTATTTAATCTGTTTGCAGGGTTTCATTTTTAAATTTGCATTATGACAAGTTGTTTTATTATAGTTTATGAAGTTCTCATTTGGCCATCTTCTTTTAATCTAGGCCTTTTTAAACCAGTGGGCATCTTATTTTAATGTCCATGGCATGATTTATGCACGTAATGTAAGCAATAGTTTTTTGTTAGTTTATTGTTTACATGGCGGATATTGGACTCTCTCTCTCTCTCATTATCATGCTTAAAAACTTGTGCTACATGACAATATAAAAGCTTTTTTATTCCATGTGTAAGAGATTTAAGGTTTGCAACTCTGCAAAACCCTTTTCTGAAATGAAATCATCAGACTTGATGTCTTTCACTATGGTTTTTAATGATGCATGACTTGCAGTGACAAGTGAAAATCTGATCCACCTGCTTACACTGCAGACATAAGAGCACAGATAAATTTCCACATAAACAAGGCCTGAGTTTGTTTTGCGTAAATGGGAATCTATGTGATTTTTTCCTGCTTATATGTTAGGGGTGTCAAAATTAATCGTTTCTTCGGTGCACTGCGATGCAGATGCGGACAATTCGGTATCGGTTCAGTAATAATCATAACCGGTTATTACTGACGTCATTTACCTCATATGCGCTCTGTCGCAAGGGAGGCGATTGCGAGTATTTACAGCGCTTTAACTACTTAAAACTCATAAACTGTGCACAATTTCACTGTGTGTGTTTGCTGGATCAGTCTTTCACTGACATATACAACAATAGCCCCTATCTAACTGAGATCGAGAGAATGAAAGTAGCCTACTCCATTTCTCTCTCTCTCTTTCACTCTGTCTCTCTCTCTCTTTCTCACACACACACAGTGGCCCATTTGACGTTACTTTTGCATACAGAAACGAGCGCGTGTCTGCAGAGTTTTCTCCACCGTGTCTATCATACATCAGCTGTGATCGCCGCTGCCGCCTGCCGCTTATCAGCATCACTCATCTGTGAAGAACGCAGCGCGCAAGAGCCAATCGCTACCGTTTTTTTTGAGGGTGTGACCAATCAAAGGGGTGTAAGAGAACTAGACAAGGATCAGAAATTGAGCTGGATATTTATATTTGTTTATATTATTTGCTAAATGCTCGTTTTGTTTAAAGTTACAGTTTATATATCTGACTGTTTGTATTAAATGACAAAATTGTATTACAAATAGTATATAAATATAAATATATTCATACATTTTAATACAAGAAATGCTGCTGTGAAGAAAATATAAAACTGTGTATGGAAAGCACCGTCAATGCACCGTGATGCACCGAAATATCGAATTGAACCGTATCGATGGCATGATAATCGTAACCGAACCGAACCGTGAGACTAGTGTAGGTTCACAGCTCTATTATACGTACATGGGGCATATACGAGCCACATGGGAGAAAAAAATCGGAATTGTGTCACTTGAACCATGCAGTGTAAATGCAGCCTTACTGACTCAGTAGGTGCAGAAAAGAGTGTCAAACGGCTGTGTGTGTAGAGACTATCCTGTCACAAAACGCATCAAAAAACCTACATGATGGTAATCGTTTTATTAAGGTTTACATGTCTGTACTGCACTTCAATAATGCGACTAAAATCAGCATACTCCACATCTTAATCTGATTTCTGTTTAGTTTAATTATGAATTTAGTCAGATAAAGGTCACCAAAAATCGCTGTTCATATGGTAGACTCTTAATCAGAGTATTGTCTTGATCGTTTTAAAATCAGATTATTGGTGTCCATGTAAACGTACTCAGTCTTTCAGTGTGTTGGTTCACAGTAAACTATTTTTGCAAGTGATCTAATTTTGGGTCAATTATAATGTGTATTATTATTATTATTATTATTATTTAAAATTCTTATTAAAAAATTTCCACATAACCGTCAACTATTCAAGCATATGTTTTACACAGCGGATGCCCTTTCAGCTGCAACCCAGTACTAGGAAACACCCATACACTCTTGCATTCTCATACACTAAGGCCAATTCAGTTTACCCAATTCACCTATAGTGCATGTCTTTGTTTTGACTGTGGGGTAAACCGGAGCATCCGGAGAAAACCCACACCAACACAGAGAGAACAATCAAACTCCAGACAGAAATGGCAACTGGCCCAGTCGGGAACCAGCAACCATCTTGCTATGAGGCAACAGTGCTAACCAGTGAGCAGTGATTATAATAATAATAATAATTTGTCTCATTTCCAAAAAAAAAAAAAAAAAAAAAAAATATATATATATATATATATATATATATATATATATATATATATATATTTATTTAAAATATATATATATATATATTTATTTTATATATATATATATATATATATATATATATAAAAATTACAGGCAGGTGTGTTTGATATGGGTTGCAACTGAAATCTGCAGGAAGGTGGCTCTCCAGGAACAGGGTTGGCCACCCCTTATATATATAATAATCTTAATCAATACGTATGGTTAATAATCCTGCATGTTCTGCATGGCTCTTGTATTTTCATGCACTTGCTCAATTATGTTGATCCAGGCACAGCCAAACATCCTGTCAGTGCGCTTCACTGGAGCCAACCCATAGTTACTCTAAATTTATCCAGCAGAAAATAGACTTCAAGCAGACTTTAAGGACCGCAACAGACTGGGTAGAGAGAGAGACCCAGCAGAAAGCGTAGGTCATATTTTCGTGAAGTGCTGCTCTTTTTAATTACTGTAGGAGATATTGTCAAAGTGATAATCCGAGAGATCAACATTTATTGGCCCGCTCGTTGTGCCTTTTTTCTCAGATTCAGGCCAATTACAAAGCCCACAACTTGTGTTTAGAAAACCATATGGTTAGCAACATCAAGTTTTCTTCCGATGCTATCGAAGAATTCATTTAAGTGCTGTAAAATATTACGTTTAGTGAATTAGTGAATGAAAACTCAAAGCTGGATTAATTTGCATCAGAACAGTGACGTGACAATCGCACGGGTCTCTCAGGGGGGGGCGTCATAATTAATAACCGTTGACCTGACTTTTGTGACAGTTGTAAAACTCCTCTGTGTTACTTTACAGTGAAAGCAGCTGTCAAGTGTGTCTTCGAGAAGTGTTACTCCGGGCTCCCAAAGGCTCGTCTATGAGAATGTGTGCATCTGGGTGTGTTAATCACCTGATTCGTCTTGTCACAGACGCGCACAAGTACAGAGAGACACACCAGAGCCGGCAGAGAGGCTGGGGGGTAGAGGAGGTGTCAGTCCTCGCTTTATCTCGTCAGAACAGACTTCACTCAATTACCTGACATTGCACACGGAGGAGAGACGGAGGAAGGGAGGGGAAGGCCTGCCAAGTGTTTGGAGAAACACTTTAGCAGTGTCAAATGCGATACCTCCATCGCTTCCTCAGCAAAGCAACTCCGGTTTTCACACCGGGTGCGGCATCAAAACTTGGATGCGCATCAACTTTTCCGGAGTGGGAAATGAAAGGACTAAGAGACAAGAAGGGAAAAAAAACGGTCATAAATGGCACAGGAATCACACTCGGATGTGTGGCAGATTGCGAAAAACTTTGTCGGGCGTCACAACAAAGTCACTGTGTCTTGTCTCACTGATCTATAAAACCCTGTGTGAGAACACTGCGCATGTGGAATACGGATTATGAGACTTACCTGACAGGACGACTTCGACCAGGTCCCCTTCCATAATTTCAGCCGCAGACCTCACCAACTGCAGGATGTTCTCAGAGTTTGGATCGTGACGGAAAAGAAGAATCTTGTCATACATCCCATAGAAGCCGCATTCTGGGAACTGTGACGGAATAAAAATGATGTTATGAGACAGTATTGAGTGAGTGGGTGGTGTGTGCTTGATGATGCTTAGCTTACATGAATCTCTTGTCTGGCGATGCCAGACATATAATGCATCTAAAAGCCCTGCCCACATATTCAAATTACAGACAACATTCCTCATACCTGAAGCTTTTCATTCAGCTATTAGAAAGCACTTTCAAAAGAGCGTTTTCATTGCTCATGGGACAAACCTTGCTGGCTAAAAACCAGCATTAAATGCTTTTCGGTTTTTCCTTTTTTTCCCTCTCTCTCTTTTTTGACTGCTCCTAAACAGTTTTTACGAACAGCAGCCTCGCAATCAATTCAATGTCAAAAGAAGAGAGCAACATATTGACTGACCCGTGTAGACCGCTGGGGAAATGGCTCACTAGCCTCATTCCCTATTGATCCCTGCTGGGCTGAGTTGCAGCAACACTGCAGAGAAGGCCTGCATGTAATGGCAATTCAGACCTACACAATTCACAAAGGGTACTCACAACTAAGCTATTTGGGCTTTATTACACCACAAACAAAGAAATCACAAATAAAAAACACTGTCAGTTGCAACAATTTTTTACGAAGATTTATAGGTGCAAAAGTTCTTTTCTTTGGTATTTTGATTCATTTTTGTTTTAGTTTAGATTCATGTTTAGAATTATGTTATTAGCACACAGTCTAGTTACATTATGTGTATTTAAAATATAAATAATTGTAATGATACAGTGCTCAGCACAATTGAGTACATTACAGTTTGAAAATGATTTTTTCTCCATTTCTCTGTGAATATAGGCAATGTATTTTGATGCATTTAAACAAAACTGATTTATTAAACAGATATATTTAATAAAATTAAAAAAAAATTCACCAAACATATTTAGAAGTTGAAAGATAATACAATTAAATTCAAGCAAAATACTGCAAAAAAAGACAACCTACAACATTTTAACTAAATTTTTCAAATTGTTTTTGCTTCTCTTGATTTTTCCTGTTTTTTAAATTTGTATTCAATATCTTTCTATAACATATAAATTTGAATGTACTAGTTTTTGGACCGTTACAGTATTTTGTTAGATAAGCTCCAGATTTGTCTAAATCTAATCTAATGTACAGTGCATCCGGAAAGTTTTCATAGCTCTTCACTTTTTCCACATTTTTGCAATTCAGCCTTATTCATTTATTTCCTCAAAATTCTACACACAATACCCCATAATGACAATGTGAAAAAAATATTTTTTAAATTGTTGCATATTTATTAAAAATAAAAATAAAAACCTGAAAAATCACATGTACATAAGTATTCACAGCCTTTGCTCAATACTTTGTTGATGCACCTTTGGCAGCAATTACAGCCTCAAGTCTTTATGATTATGATGCCACAAGATTGGCACACATGTCTTTAGGAATTATTGCCCATTACTCTTTGCAGTACCTCTCAAACTCTATTAGGTTGGATGGGAAGCGACGATGTTGAGCCATTTTCAGATCTCTCCAGAGATGTAGGATTGAGGTCTGGGCTCTGGCTGGGCCACTCAAGGACATCCACCGAGTTGTTGTGAAGCCAGTCTATTGATATTTTAATGTTGTGCAGTTTCCTGATGCACTATATATGCACAAACATAATATTGTATCGCTTCCTATTAAAAATATGAATTTAAAAGATGAGGGGTGTACTTGCATATGCTGAGCACTGTAAATAGTTACTCTATGAGAAGCATAAACATTAACTAAATAGAATTATTAAACAGAAAAACAGAGCAAATATGGTAAAACATTGAAGCTAAATGAACTAAAGTGCTTAAATAGACCTCAAGAGTTATCATGTTCAACATGCATTTGAGCTTCTTCATGCTTTCTTTTTATTGGTATTTGAAAATGTGTGCTTAATACATAAATATTGAATTATTTGCAGGGAAACACACAACTAAACCTACTTCACTGCGCACCGACAGACAGACAGATGGCAACAGATACTTTGTCTGCTTTTGTCAGTGTGTTACCCATGTCGGTGTCTGTTGGAGCTTGTTTTCTCTGATTGAACATGCTGAATTGGTTGTACCATGTCTAAAAAGTGACATGCTGTAATCTGTTGATTGTCTGTGTTTGTTGCCATCTGTCGTTGTGGTGTGAATTGGCCTTTAAAGTACTTCAAAATAAGCAACAGAAGCTTGGGATTAGATGAGTAAGAAACTGTCTTGCACAAAAGCGCTTTTATGTACAGAACCTGACAAATGTCTTGATATAAAAAACACAAACAATGTCTTCACATTTCGTAGTGTAAGTGACAGAATGACAGACCATTGAATTGTTAAAAAAGAACTCAGATTGGATATTTTCTAATGATTAATGATGCATAATAAATGGGCTGCAGAACTGATATTGATATTAATTGTATCGGCTTAAATTGAAATGAATTATTGGCTGATAAGTCATGGATTATTTCCACACTTCAGATGTGTGCTGCTGGCCATGACGGGTTGATTGGTGTCTTCCACATGACATGACACGTCGCATACAGCAGATGCACGCTTTAGCAGAGTTTGTACTAGAGGAAGACAACATGTCAGCAGTGTGACACTTTTTCATCTGTGGAAAAAAGTCTTCAGTATTGGAATTTATGCATAATTCGGAGAAAATAATGATCTGGGAGTTGCCTTGTTTTCTGCAGTTAGATATGTAAAGTTAATGTGAAATTAAAATTTGCTATCAATGTTTATTTTGCACATTCTTATTTTTAGGTGAACAATTAATCCATGGAAGTTAATACACTGAAAAAAAATGTTTGTTTTAGTACTCTTTAATAAATGTCTGACCATTTGCTTCTGCGTTGGAAGGTTGTTAGTTTGACGGCTTTAGCCCCAATATTCTCAACCATACCCTTTTTACATTCAGCTTACTACAAGGGAATGATGTACAAATAGTAAGCCCCGCCCCATCCTCAATATTCAGTTTCAGTTGGAAGTACTTCAACATACTGAAATAAATGTCTGAGCAACTTCACATTCAAGCTGACTTAAAAATAAAATCATTGCTGTATTTCTGTGTGTTTTGTTATCAGGTTCAGAACAATTTATCTCAATTTGTGTATTTATTGATAGGTACACCTTACTATTACCAGGTTGGACCCCCTTTTGCATTCAGAACTGCCCTAATCCTTCATGGCATAGATTCAACAAGGTACTGGAAATATTCCTCCGAGATTGTTGTCCATATTGACATGGTAGCATCATGCAGTTGCTGCAGATTTGTCGGCTGTACATCCATGATGCGAATCTCCCACTCCACCACATCCCAAAGGTGCTCTGTTGGATTAAGATCTGGTGACTTTGGAGGCCATTCAAGTACAGTGAACTCATTGTCATGTTCAAGAAACCAGTCTGAGATGATTCGTGCTTTATGACATGCCGCGTTATCCTGCTGGAAGTAGCCATCAGATGGGTATCTGATGTGTACACTGTGGCCATAATGGTATGGACATTATCAGCAACAATACTCAGGTTGGCTGTGGTGTTGACATGATGCTCAATTGGTACTAATGAGCCCAAAGTGTGCCAAGAAAATATTCCCCACACCATTAGACCACCACCAGCAGCCTGAACTGTTGATACAAGGCAGGATGGATCCATACTTTCATGTTGTAGATGACAAATTCTGACCCTACCATCCGAATGTCACAGTAGAAATCAAGACTCATCAGACTACGCAACGTTTTCCAATATTCTACTGTCCAATTCTGGGGAGCCTGTGCGAATTGTAGCCTCATTATTCTGTTCTTAGCTGACAGGAGTGGCACCCGGTCTAGTCTTCTGCTGCTGTAGCCCATCTGCTGCATGTTGTGCGCTACCTCGGTTGTAACGAGTGGTTATTTGAGTTACTGTTGCCTTTCTATCAGCTTGGTTCAGTCTGGCTATTCTCTCCTGACCTCTGGCATCAACAAGGCATTTGTTCCCACATAACTGCCGCTCACTGGATATTTTTTTTTAGCACTCTCTATAAACCCTAGAAATAGTTGTGCGTGAAAACCCCAGTAGATCAGCAGTTTCTGAAATACTCAGACCAGCCTGTCTGGAACCAACAAACATGCCACGTTCAAAGTCACTTAAATTACCTTTCATCCTCATTCTGATGCTCAGTTTGAACTGCAGCACATCGTCTTGACCATGTCTTCATGCCGAAATGCACTGAGTTGCTGCCATGTGCTGATTAGAAACTTGCATTTACAAGGAGTTGGACAGGTGTGCCTAATAAAGTGGCCGGTGAGTGTATATCAGTAAACTGCCATCAAATATAAAGGGGTTTTGGTATCAACCAAATTCTAATAGTAATTTAAATAATAATTTAGCATTCCAATGTCAGTTAATCCTGTTACATATTATACAATATGTAAAAGATATTTGCATTTTGTTTAATTAATCTAACAGGCTTTGCAATTTAGCCTGCTGTGTATTGTGGCCAATTCACATTCAAAGTCATGAGTTTTGAGTCAGTCAGCTCTCAAATGCTCAGTTTTGCTTAACCTTAACCTTGAATTCCCTTCACACTACATAAAAGCTTTTCTGGTGTTGCAAGCATGCAGCTGAGAGCATATATGTGCCTGATATTCCTGTGTGCATTTAAATGCACAAAGATCCAGGAAGCTACTTCAAATGAGATTTCTGAAGTGGCATCTACAGAGAGCAAAGTATCGCACATAGCTAAAAAGGAAGTGAACGAACGATGGAAAAAATCCAACGTCTAAATAGAGACATGGAACAGCAGTGACTAACATAGAGAAAGCAACTGCGGCATTATAAAACGCATCCATCCAAGATATCGGGATGCTAACAGACCGTGAAAACATATGATGATTATAAGGCTACAGGTTAACAGATTGAACACTAATCATTCGCCTTGTTCCCAATCAAGTCGACTACCCATGTTCCATTTATTCACAACTCCAAATGTGCCTTTTTACAGGCAGAGGCTTTAAAGAGCATTTGATTG